CTCCACCCTCAATGACTGATGTTTTTCTCTAATTGCTCTATCAGATTCCCGAGGTTTTTACAGGAATTGGTTTGTGCAGGGGGTGCAGGACACACAAGGGAGGGAGGACACAGAGCAGCCACTGACTTTCAAATGAGCCCAATTCTACAGTGACCACCGAAATGCCTCACAGATGAAGAAAAGAGGTTCCAGTGCCTTGATAGAGGTTTGTGCCAGCCATAAATCCTGCTTAGCTTCCTTCCATTTACAGTTTATTGCATTAACATTTCTTTTGTGCTGGCTGCTGCTGGGAACCTATTGTAAATTTGGGCAATTACGACTTTTGTTCCATCTGTCCCTCCCCTCCTCAGTGCTATAACATCAAAGGTGGCCAATTCGGTAGGGGCCAGCTCTGTCTCTTAAATCCAACCTGAAATACATGTTAGAAATCACAGGCTTTGAGTGAACAGTAACAGAATAAATCAGGAAGATGCTGCTCGAGACTTCTGAGATAGTCTTAAAATAATCTTTCTTAAACCTCCTGCACAATGCTCCCAAGTCAAAGCCTGGATAGGTATCTTAGTGCCTCCTTGTCCAAATCCCCCTTAAAGTAGATGTATGAGTCATTACTGAACCATGTCAAACAGGGAGTGTCCCCACAAATACTGGGGTTTCCACCAGCCCTGCCTCTGCTTGGGTTTCAGTGGTACTTAAAATAATCTCTCTTAAAGTATCTGCATAAACGAGAGTGGGTCACATCACTGCTGCTGTGGGGATGAGGCTGCCTGAGGAAATCCCAGGATGCTGGTGAAGGCCCCACAGCAGATAAGGAGGGTGTGCGCCCAGCTGGAAGGCTTGATGGATAATACTGAGCTGCTTCCACTCCTGACAAGCTGTCACTTGCTACAGGGAAGAGAGAAACAGAAAGCCTGTGTTCTCAGGTGTGCTGGTGATTTTAAGGGTAGGAGGATGTTGCATTGGTCAGTTTCATTATCAACAGTTTCTTAAGAACCTACTTCTTGCCTTGGTGAATGCTGGACTGTGGGGGATACAAAGATGAACAAGGATAATCCCTGTTTCAAGAAACTTAAAAGCTAACGAAGGAGACAAGTCTAATGAGAGTGAATACAAGATGCTTCATAATTAGTTTCATGACATAGACACAAAACACTATACATCCCAGTTCCCCAAAATGTGAAACACAGAGCTACCATATGACCCAGCAATTTCACTCCTAGGTATATACCGAACAAAAATGAAAACGTGGGTCCAACCAAAAACTTGTACGCAAATGTTCATAGTGGAATTATAATGTTCAAAAACTGGAAGCAACCCAAATATCCATCATTGGAATGGATAGTGGGGTATATTCCTGCAACTGAAGATTACTGGGCCAGGAAAAGAAATGAAGTACTAACACATGCTACGACATGGACAAACCTTGAAAACATTACAAAGCGTGAAGGAAGTCAGAGACAAAAGGGCTAAATTATACAGTACCATTTACAGGAAATGTCCAGAGCAGACAAATCTATAGATTTAGAAAGTAGATTAATAGTTGTCAGGAGAAATGAAGAGGGGTGCATAGTGACTGAACACCAATGGGTATAGGGTTTTAGGGTAAGGAAAACGTTCTGGAATTAGATAGTGATGATCATTGCACAACTTTGTGAATAGACTGAAAACCACTGAGCCGCGTGCTTTAAAAATGTGAACTTTGGCGGGTTGGCGGGGCGGGCGGGGGGGAGTTGGGGAGAGATAGCATGGGGAGAAATGCCAGATACAGGTGAAGGGGAGGAAGGCAGCAAATCACACTGCCACGTGTGTGCCTATGCAACAATCTTGCATGTTCTTCACATGTACCCCCAAAACTAAAATGCAATTAAAAAAATGTGAACTTCATAATATTTGAACTATGTCTCAATAAAACAATGATTTTTAAATGCAATGGGAGGTTAGCACGGGGAGTAACTGTGACTAAGGGGCAGGGCTGGCATATATGATGCCTCTGCTGGCATTGAGCACAACTTGTGGATTCTAAGCACTTTCTTAAAATGAAAGAATGAGCAAAGAAAACAAGTCACTGGATTTTACTGTTCACTTCCAGACTATCATATCCATTCTGGCTGCGAAGGACAGATACCAAGTTTCTACTTTCTGAAACTGTTATTACTCAGGCACAATCCACAGAGACAGCATCCTAAAAACTCAGGGACTCCGAGCTCTGTGCAACGTGGTGTTCAGGATCCTAGAACTCTCACGCTGTGTTCCCACCACCCTGGGCTCTGTTTCAGCATCCCATGTCTCCCTCTGTATTTATCTGTCCTTTGCACTGTGAATGATTTGGAGGCAGTGGCTATGCCTTTTATCTCTGTATCCCTAGAACCAGCAGCACATAGAAGGGACTGCCCAGGTGACTGTGGAAAAAGGCAGGAAGTCACTATTTGCTTATAACTCTGAATCTCAAGCTTTCTCATTTCTCCACTTCCTTATCAGGTACAGTGACTACACTAAGAATACTCTGGTACTCAAGTGCTGCTTTTCTATTTTGTTTTTCAGGTCAAATGGGTCACATGATGGTGATTTCATATGGCTGAATCTAACACAAAGTCACTGGAAAGAATGTCTTTTGAGACCATTTCATTATATAAAATGGTTTTTAAACTTCGGTCCCTGAAGATCCTTTGGGGAGCACCAACAGAGAGGTAAGGGGGAGTGATTTTGATTCCCACCGTCCCTTCTCCCTGAAATGTTTAGAGTTTCTATGTAAGAGTTGGTCTGAAGAAAAGACTTGTATCTAAAAATTAGTTTGTAACTAATTTATTTACATAACTTATTTATAACTGTAGATCCACTTAGGTATTAAGAAAATATCCCCCAAAACATGTTCTGTAGGTCAAGCAAATAAAAAGTAATGCTTAAGCTTTTTGCTTTCAGTTCATTGGAAAGCCAGAGGGCTTACACATTTTTATGCTGTCTACCATCAGTGCGTCTAGGAAGGGGCATCTATGCATGAGGCTACCATGTGGGAAATTCTTGAGTGGGCAGTGAGAGAGGGTTAGCAACTCAAAGCAAGTAATCCAAGAGTTAATCAGGAGAGACACTCAATCCAGAAAGTGCTCATTAACCCAAGCCTTTCTGCAGAGTGTCCCTACCACCCTGCTGCCTCTAACTAAACAAAACACGGTAGGTCTCAGTGTGAGAGAGAGCTTTTGTTCACATAGGAGGCTGACAGCTATTTGTGATGAGGGGTTTTTGTTTGTTTATTTGTTATTCAAATAACTTTTTCCCCCTGAGGAAACTGAAAGGGAAAATGTCAGAAGCATGTGATTAATGGTTTTTAAAAATAGATGGGATCTCCCCCATTGAATTGAAAAGTAGGTATTGAAAAAGGATTCATTTCTAAATGGTAGATTTTCGTATGTAAGTTTGATATTAATTCTTTCAAAAGAGTTGTGCTTGTGAGTCAGATAAATGACAGGAAGGTCTGTCTAAATACCAGCATCCTCGGAAGGGCAGCTGTTCAGAAACATTCTCAAATCATGAAGATAAACAGAACCGGAACACTGATGATTCCATCAACTGATGGTGAGGGAAGCATCCAATTCTGTCTTAGCCTCCAAGCTGTGCAGTGTTACTGCGCTTCCTAAAATACTTTTCAACCAATACACAAAAAACCCCATGCTGCTGGGGATGGGGGAAGTTGATTATTGGGGTTGGGGGATACAGGAGAGAGAAGAGAGGAAAAACGGACACCAAAAACTACCTTCTTTTTCTAAGGTCCCTTTTAATCAGATCTTAAAGCAAAGACAGAAGCTGAAAACATTCCTAGTAAATAAACAGCAAGGAACTCTGAATGCTTAACCGACCAGAACCCCGGAAGGAGCCCGCCTGGTATTGCCAGGCATGACTGGCTTTAGTAGATTTCACAATAAAAAAGAAGATGGCGCCAAATGACCAAACTACATGCAACCTTCCCTTCCTACAAGAAAAGTGGATAAAACTTTCCACTGGGGGAGGAGGAGGAGGCAGGGGACCAGTCCAGAGAGATAAAATGCTACTTAACACAACAATGTGGATAGCATTTAGGCCACATGCAAATTTCATCCACAGAGCTTGCAAATGGCATGCGATTTAGTGCTCAGAGGATGTAACCTATTTGAGTCTAGAGAGCTAATTAATAAAACAGTCTAAAAAGAATGCAGAGTTAATTGCCATCCATCTCCAGGCTATTTCAATTTGGTTTCATTTACTGTTAAACAAAATTCTAAATATTGTTATAGCAATCAGTTATTAGTTACCTTAACAAGATGCAAGTTTGATGTTGGTCAAAGTTAAAGCCTTTAAAAAAAAAATGCTTGAAAAAGTTGAAGCCGCTCTTCTCTTTAGAGCTTATTCTGTGATGGATAAAAATTGCAACTATGAAGGTTTCAAGTCAGGTCACGTTCAGAAAGTAATAGTAAATAACAGTAACTGGTACACGTAGTCCTAGATCTTACTTGCAATTGCTCAAGTTGAAATAATTGAATACAGTCTTCAAAAATCATACTCTCATTTACAGATATGATTGGGCACATGGGATTTAAATCATGCTCCTTCATTGCTGAGAGTCACTGAATTAAAACGGCCATCATTTTTACCTCTCTTTTCTCTTGACTTTTTCTTCCTTTAAGCATCCCTGCACTACATAATTTTTGTTTTCCACTGATAGCGAGAAGTTAGAGCCAGATTATTTTGTTTGGGACAAACTGTCAGTGATTATAAGAATATAGTTCAGCCGGGCGCAGTGGCTCAAGCCTGTAATCCCAGCACTTTGGGAGGCCGAGGCGGGTGGATCACAAAGTCCAGAGATCGAGACCATCCTGGTCAACATGGTGAAACCCCATCTCTACTAAAAATACAAAAAATTAGCTGGGCATGGTGGCGCGTGCCTGTAGTCCCAGCTACTCAGGAGGCTGAGGCCCGAGAATTGCTTGAACCCAGGGGGCGGAGGTTGCGGTGAGCTGAGATCGCGCCATTGCACTCCAGCCTGGGTAACAAGAGTGAAACTCTGTCTCAAAAAAAAAAAAGAATATAGTTCAAAACATCCTGCAACCGGTGTATGCGTGGCCCACACTAAATCCTGTCTCCCCTGAAGCTTGCTGAAGGAGAGCATGACATTTCTCCATTCTAACCTGGTATGGATGCTTCTGGAATCCTGAAGCTGAGCATGAACTATACCCACTTTTCAGTAATGAGGCTTAAAATATCCAAGATTGTGTAAGAAATTTTTTGGGTGGAGGAAGATACTTGACGAATTTGTTGTTGTTGTTGTTGTTGTTGTTTGTTTTTGAGATGGAGTTTCGCTCTTGTTACCCAGGCTGGAGTGCAATGGCGCGATCTCGGCTCACCGCAACCTCCGCCTCCTGGGTTCAAGCAATTCTGCGGCCTCAGCCTCCTGAGTAGCTGGGACTACAGGCGCGCGCCACCATGCCCAGCTAATTTTTGTATTTTTAGTACAGACGGTGTTTCACCTTGTTGACCAGGATGGTCTCGATCTCTTGACCTCGTGATCCACCTGCCTCAGCCTCCCAAAGTGCTGGGATTATAGGCATGAGCTACAGCGCCTGGCTGATACTTGATGAATTTATATGACTTCCCGAGGACTAGATGCTGGGACCCTATGTTCCGGCCAGAGTGAATTTACTAAGGACGGGACCGGGTGATGCTTGGAGTATGAGGCTGATTTTTTTTTTGAGACTGAGTTTCGCTCTTGTTACCCAGGCTGGAGTGCAATGGCGCGATCTCCGCTCACCACAACCTCTGCCTCCTGGGTTCAGGCAATTCTCCTGCCTCAGCCTCCTTAGTAGCTGGGATTACAGGCATGCGCCACCATGCCCAGCTAATTTTTTGTATTTTTAGTAGAGACGGGGTTTCACAATGGTGACCAGGATGGTCTCGATCTTTTGACCTCGTGATCCACCCGCCTCGGCCTCCCAAAGTGCTGGGATTACAGGCGTGAGCCACGGCGCCCGGCCCGAGGCTGATTTTATGGAGAGTCCTTCCAAACCTGAGTGGGCAGAACTGGAAAACGCAGGTTTCACCTTGGCCTCAGTCCCAAAGGTGCATCTGTACCACCGGCTTTTGTCAGGATGAATGATGGTGCTGAGTAATTTCAGGAAAGCAACTCATCTGCCCAAATATGACTGCCAAAATATTCAGAATAATGTAGCTTAGCACTTAAATGTAATTTTACTTTCTGGCTTTATGTATAAGGAAGAAGTTGCCTTTGGGCCGCTCCGGCTTTTGCATTAGGTTTTAATTCCCAGGAACAACCATTGTCAAGAGCTGGAAAGGATGTAAGGAGGGTATTTCTCTCTCTGCTCACATCACCACCTTCTCATTTCCAGTTTACTTGTTATTCTTAAAGAGTGATGCCAAGTTTGTATACTTTAAAAAAAAAAAGGGCTAAAGAAAAGCCAAATAAGTCGTATCATTGGTAGATATGCTAATTCAGATTGAAATATAAGTCTTTAAAAAGTTCAACTTGTTACATGTAAAATTATTTTAATGACATATTGGAGAAAAATCTGGCATTATGCTGCCAAAAAGGCAATACATTTAAGGCAATCTCACAAAGTATATGAAATCACAGACTGCAACTATTTTAATTTTAAAAGCTCAGTTTACAAATATATACTAATATTTTTCTCACTTTTAATCACTCCCCCACTGTTTTAACATAAGAGCTAAAATAACCTAAAACGGCCCCCTAAAACACACACAGCAAGTCTGTTACACAGATCTGGAAAACAAAAAATGTATGAAGGAAGGAATTTTCAATAATCTGAAACAGAGTAGCAAAAAATGTGTGTGTGGTTTCTAGGTTTTCAGTACTAATAAAAATTTTTCCTGGGAAAATTTTACTTTAAAGCAACTCTAAATGAAAATGCATATAATTAAGGGAAAGACCATTGCTTCAAACAGATTGACTGTCTTTAACAAGTTTCTCTCTTTCTAGCTACTCAGATATGCTATATTTCCTAATTATCACCTTTTAAGGGCCATCTGGGCCCATTCCTCCCCATCAGGGGGCAATTCCATTTGCATTGTTCCTGGGCTTAGTCATGATCAAGTAGTCTGGTGGTAAAGTTCATTAGAAATTAGAACAGAAGCATTCAACCCAACACAGTAAACCAAGTATCTGATACTCAGGCACCCGCAGGAGAGATGATAAGCATGTCAGACACATTCTCACATAACTAACAAGTCTTCAATGTGCATTTTATCCAATTGCTTAAAGAAACATTCAGCCTGCTCCCTGACCAGGTATGTAATGAAGATTTGATTAAGTCTTCTCACACTGCAAAATATTTCTCAATTAAGGCAACATAAGTATAGTCCCTTCTGTCTTTTGGTTCAAAAGTCTATTAAAAACCCTTTAATGGTTCCCTCATTTAGCCTACCATTCACAAGCAGTATACTACTTCCTTCCTGTAGAGAACACACAAGAATTATCCTAATTGTATTTTCTGTGAAACAAATGCACATTACAGGAGAAAGTGGGACCCAGCCCACAGTCCAATGCTGACTAGCTATGTCCCTTTTGTCCTCACCAAGAGATATCCTATAGATTCACAAACTCTTTACAAACGTGTGTGTGCCAAAGGCAAGCTTGGCCCATGGGTACACTAGATAGGCAGCTGCTCTTCAACAGAGCCGATTGTAAAAGGTATGGCTAATTCAAGGCAGGCATATAAAAGGTTTCCCCGCTTCATACCTCATAAGGTCTGATACATAAAACCCAGGAAATCGTTACCTGCCTCATCTTGCAATTTCTGAGCCTGGCTTGCAATGGCCATCTTAATCCGCAACACCAGCCTATTGAGATTGAAGAGGAGAGCTCCATGCTGAGACCCACAGCCTCTTGGAGCTACACCTTAGTCTTGCAAATGAAGACAGCTGCAGCGAGCCCTAATCTATGCAAGGCAGGTGTAGCCCCGGGGCTCTCTGCAAGTGACCCTTGGAGCTACTAGGGCTGGAAAGTTAAGAAGTTACAGTTATAAAAAGAACTATTTCATAGCCTCTCATTATCGAGGTTACTAAGCTTTCTAAAGGAACAATGGCTTATTTCCTCCCATTTGTGCCTTGATATTCTCCCCTGCCCTTCTGAAATTCCCTGTTTAGATAGTCCCTAATTCTGACCCCAGCTGGGACACTTTAAATTGGTGGCATAGCTCATTCCCAACTGATGCTATTCCTTCGACGCTATGTTGAAAATTTGATTCTGCGTCGTTTTCCATTTTAAAAACCTATCCTAAAATCCACTGTCCGGACAGTAGGGAGATTTCAGGAGAAAGTAATGCTTACAGAACCATCCCAAGATGCAATAATGCATATAGATGATAATTTTGTATTGCTTAGTAAATGAATCTGCAACAAAACATTGCACCACTGAAACTGAGCCAACGACAATTAACTCAAGAAACAGTCACTGAGTCTCTTTCTTTCTCTCTCTCAATGTGTTGAAACAAATACTTCTATGTCTGAGGCCAACTCTGGCCTTGACTGTCCCCCAAAGGACTGCGGAAACAGAACTCGGAAGATGTTTCTCCTCTAGGAGAAACTGGTTGTGTCACCGTGTCACCAGCAAGGCCACCAGATGCTCAAAGAGGAGGTGGTACTGATGCTGGGCTGAGCCGCTGAGCTGAGCACCAGGAGCTGCCGGCTCCAGCGACTCAGGCCCATGTCACTCTGGGAGCACAGTTCGAATGGAGCAGCTGTACGCTCTGGAAGACCTCAGAGCATGTAGCCTGGACTGGAAGAAGGTCTCCTTCCAGGTCTGTCACCATTTTCCTTGCTCAGAGTGTCCCTGTAACAGCGCCACACAAATTCCCGAGAGCTGCTGCACTGTCTTCTCCAGCATAGCACAAAAGAGAATAAAGGGGGAAATTGGGTCCTGGAGTCAGACAAAGGTGGGCTCTGAATCCGTTTGACTGTGTAACAGGCATCACAGCACTCTTATCACAGGGAAACAGGAGAGAAATGTCTATGAGATTTTTTTTTTTTTTTTTGAGACAAGGTCTTGTTCTGTCACTCAGGCTGGAGCACATTGGCTCAATCTCCACTCACGGCAACCTCTGCCTCCCGGATTCAAGCGATTCTCATTCCTCAGCCACCCGAGTAGCTGGGATTACAGACGCACACCACCACAGCTTATTTTTGTATTTTTAGTAGAGATGGAGTTTCAGCATATTGACCAGGCTGGTCTTGAACTCTTGATCTCAAGTGATCCGCCCACGTAGGCCTCCCAAAGGTGCTGGGATTATAGGCATGAGCCACCCCACCCAGCCTCTAAGAGGTTCTTGACAGAAACGGACTCAGCAAACCTTAAGGCCATCCTCTGGGAACAAACCCCTCACACCACCACCATCTAAAGGAATAAAGCTTTGCTCAGATGATGCTTAAATTACATCAGTTTCAGCAGAGGAGGTTGCCGAAACCCAAAATCACTGTATGTGATTATAGTAAAAGTTTCTCATTAAAGTTCATTTTTTTAAGTTTGATTTTAAGGCTTATCTTAAAAATCTGGGAGCAGATACATTAATTTTGAAATAAAAATGATAAATATATTTAAACATTTGGCTTTTCTTAAAGAATCATTTTAATTTTTTTATTGGTTCTACTATATTTTTTCCACCTTTCACTTTTGGAATTCACATAACAGGCTTTTTCCCTCTTCAATTTTTATAGAACTGTTGAGTTTTCATAAAAGTATAAAGTTTGAAACAAGTACAGAAAGCTTGTAAATGTTCCAGAAATGCTGTGCTACACTTCCATACCCATTACTTCTAACAATTTCACGAGAAGGAGCACATTTTCGTGAGTCGTGTGATGTTTTAGCAACAAGACTCCTGTGGACTTTAATGGAAGTCACACAGCTAAAACTCCATGCTCCACTCTAAAAATTTAAGAGTAATTGCTAAGTCCCCCTCAGAGGGTCATAGAAATATTAAAAACCAAAGAATTTTGCTAAGAACTCCAATTATGCCTGAAGGCTTACATCAGATTTTATAAAATGATTGGTCACATGTATAATGTACTCTAATGCTGTTTTATTGGCTGGTTGTTTTCTGTATAAAAGAAAGTCTTTGTGAAGTCCTGTCTGAACAGGAACATACAATACAGTGACCCTCAGTTCAAGTGTTTACTTAAACCCATGGTTCAGTCTTCTGGGGTAGTAGGAGTGAGAAATAAATGGGCCTCGGAACACTTTATCTTTTTATTATTTCACAGGGGATCATGACGTTCACTGCATCATCAGACTGGTAGACTTTGCAGAAATACATGAAGTTGCTGAATATAACCAATCTGCCCCAGTGAACATTCATCCTCAGAATCCCTTGTGAGTGGCTGGGTTAAGAAGGCTGATCCTGGCCGGGCAAGGTGGCTCACGCCTATAATCCCAGCACTTTGGGAGGCTGAGGCGGCTGGATCACGAGGTCAAGAGATCGAGACCATCCTGGTCAACAAGGTGAAACCCCGTCTCTACTAAAAACACAAAAATTAGCTGGGCATGGTGTGGCACACGCCTGTACTCCCAGCTACTCGGGAGGCTGAGACAGGAGAATTGCTTGAACCCAGGAGGCAGAGGTTGCGGTGAGCCAAGATAGTACCACTGTACTCCATCTTGGAAGACAGAGCAACACTCCTCAAAAAGAAAAAAAATTATACTGTACTGGAACTGAAAAATTCCTATAGTCTAGTGATGTTGTAGCCACTGTGACATCATAGCACGATGCATTATTCATGAGTTTGTGGTGATGCTAGTATATATAAAACTACTGCACCACCAGTGCTATAAAAATATAGCACATACAATCACGTATAGTACATACTTGATAATGATAATAAATGATTGTTACTGGTTTATATATATATATTATGCTTTACATTTTCTCTTTTAGACTATGCGCCTTCTTATTTAAAAAAAGTTAACTGTAAAATAGCCTCGGGGGGTCCTTGAGGAGGTATTCCAGAAAAAGGCATTGTTATCGTAGAAGATGACAGCTCTGTGCATGTTATTTCCCCTAAAGACCTTCCACCTGGACAAGCTGCAGAGGTGGAAGACAGTGATACTGATGATCCTGACCCTGTGTAGGCCTAGGCTAATGTGTGTGTGTTTCTTTTAACAAAACGTTCAAAAAGCGTAAAAACTAAAATTTAAAAATATAAAAAGGCATATAGAATAAGAGATAAAGGAAACATTTTTGTACAATGTGTTCGTATTTTCTTTTGTTGTTTGTTTTTGTTTTTGTTTTTGTTTTTTGAGACGGAGTTTCACTCGTTACCCAGGCTGGCGTTCAATGGCATGATCTCGGCTCACCGCAACCTCCGCCTCCTGGGTTCAAGCAATTCTCCTGCCTCAGCCTCCCGAGTGGCTGGGACTACAGGCGCGCGCCACCACGCCCAGCTAATTTTTGTATTTTTAGTAGAGACGGTGTTTCATCTTGTTCACCAGGATGGTCTCGATCCCTTGACCTCATGATCCACCTACCTCGGCCTCCCAAAGTGCTGGGATTATAGGTGTGTTTGTGTTTTAAGCTTAGTGTTATTACAAAAGAGTCTACTAAAAATACAAATATTAGCTGGGCATGGTCACACGTGCCTATGGTCCCAGCTACTCAGGAGGCTGAGTCAGGAGAATGGCTTGAACTCAGGAGGCAGAGTTTGCAGTGAGCTGAGATTGAGCCACTGTACTCTGGCCTGGGTGACAGAATAAGACGCCTTCTCAAAAAATAGTAATAACTTAAAAAAAAAAAAAAGCTGGCTGGGCGCAGTGGCTTATGCCTGTAATCCCAGCACTTTGGGAGGCCAAGGCAGGTGGATCACAAGGTCAGGAGTTCAAGACCAGCCTGGCCAAAATGGTGAAACCCTGTCTCTACTCAAAGTTTTTTTTAAAATTAGCCAGGAGCGGTGGTGGGCACCAGTAATCCCAACTACTCGGGAGGCTGAGGCAGAGAATTGCTGGAATCCAGTGAGCTGAGACAGCACCACTGCACTCCAGCCTGGGTGACAGAGCAAGACTCCATCTCAAAAAAAAAAAAAAAAGGTTATAGTAAGCTAAGGTTAATTTACTGTTGAAGAAAGAATTTTTTTTTTAAATAAATGTAGTATAGCCCAAGTATATAGTGTTTACAAAGTCTACAGTAGTGACAGTAATGTCCTAGGGCTTCACATTCACTCACTGCTCACTCACTGGCTCACCCAGAACGGGAGGGCCTGCAAGCTCCATGCATTGTAAGAGTCTTCTGCAGGTGTTCCACTGTAAATCTTTTTTTTTTTTTTTTTGAGACGGAGTTTCGCTCTTGTTACCCAGGCTGGAGTGCAATGGCGCGATCTCAGCTCACCGCAACCTCCACCTCCTGGGTTCAGGCAATTCTCCTGCCTCAGCCTCCTGAGTAGCCAGGATTACAGGCACGCGCCACCATGCCCAGCTAATTTTTGTATTTTGAGTAGAGACAGGGTTTCACCTTGTTGACCAGGATGGTCTCGATCTCTTGACCTCGTGATCCACCCGCCTCGGCCTCCCAAAGTGCTGGGATTACAGGCTTGAGCCACCACGCCCGGCCCACTGTAAATCTTTTACGCAGTATTTTTACTGTACACTTTTTCTTTTTACATATGTTTAGATACAGAAATCCTTACCATTGTGTTACAACTGCCTTCAGTATTCAGTAGCAACATGCTGTACAGGTTTATGTCCGAGGGGCAGTAAGCTATACCACACAGCCTAGGTTTGCAGTAGGCTGGAACACACGGGCTGTGGAAGTACACTCTGTGATGGTAGGACAATGATGAAATCACGTAACAATGCATTTCTCAGGACATATTCCCATTGTTAAGCGACGCATGATTGTAATCTGAAACGAACAGAAAAGATCCAAGAAGGCCAGGAGTAGTGGCTCATGCCTGTAATCCTGGCACTTTGGAAGGTTTAGGCAGGTGGATCACTTGAGGTCAGGAGTTCAAGACCAGCCTGGCTAACTAATGAAACACCGTCTCTACTGAAAATATAAAAATTAGCCAGGTGTTGTGGCACATATGCCTGTAATCCCAGCTACTCAGAGGCTGAGGCAGGAGAATCGCTTGAACCCAGGAGGCAGAGGTTGCAATGAGCAGAGATTGAGCTACTGAACTCCAGCCTGAGTGACAGAAGACGACTTCATCTCAAAAAAAAAAAAAAGAAGAAGAAGAAGATGCAGGGATAGCTAAATAATTCCTGAATTCCCCTTACCCAGTCTCACCAACTGTTAGCACTGTTAACATTCTGCCACATTTCTCTATCATTACTGCGCTCCTCTGTCTCTCTTGGTCTCTCTCTCTCTCCATATGTGTAGATACAGATATAGATAGGTAGATATGCATAATATGTACAGATATCTATTTATTTTTATATTTCTGCACATGTATTTTTTGATGAACCATTTGTAAGTTTATTCGTTGTGCCCCTAAGCTCCTAAATGGTTCCCCAAACCAAGGACACTCTCCTACAGAACTGTATCACAATTATCAAAATCAGAAAATCTAACATGGGTATGATACTACTATCTATGTAGTATAGCCTAATAGTGTAGCACATAGTGTTTACAAAGTCTACAATAGTGGAAAGATCCCACTCAGAATCATCTGATGTATGGCTCTGGTCCAAAGTAACCACAAAAGAAAAATTTTAATTTACAGAACGGCAAATTATCTTTTTCTTCCCTTCATGGGATAAGAAATTGTGTGTGAATAGGCCACAGTATAACATCATGAAAAATGTGGCACGTATCAGCTAGGCACTTTGGTGATTAGGTCCACATCTGATGCTAATGCTACTAAGGTTTCAGGCGGTGGGAGAAACCCAGTGGTCTATCCTAAAGCCAAAGATCGGACCCGAAGTTTCAGCAGTGATACACATCTTTGCTACTGCACAGAAAGAGGGCTAGAAATGCAGCACAGGTATTCCATAGGCACATGGCAAAGCACCAGGGAACACATTCAGAATCCTTCTACCCTGGTGGGCCATTCTATGATGGAAGCACGTTGGATAACTCAAGATCTCATTAAGTATAAAACCAACAAGCTTTCCACTTTTGAAGACAAACTCTGGGTTTTGGATTGAGGATGTGAGGGCTGTTTTCTTCTTTGACCAGTCCTAGTCCATTATTGTTTTTGTTTGTTTTATTTTAAAACTGCCCCCCTTTCTTTTTTATTTTTTTTGAGTCCATTATTTTTGGAGGCTTCACGTAAAATTATCTTTATAAGGTTGGTCAACTTAGATATCATTCTTTTATTTCATTGCGACAGGAAGATTAGGTAGGCAACTCTGCTATTCTAACCCTATGAATGCCATTTCATCAGGCTAAGCTATTCACCCTCTAACTTGATTCGCAAAGCACTGAAAGTAGAATCTAGGAAAACTGAAGTATGTTTTTGCGGAAGGGCGGACTGTATCATCAAAGACCTGCAGGCAAGACCACGGAGAAGTACAAATGGTGCTCTAGAAGTTAAAAGTGGGTGTCAGATACCATCCTGTGAATGTGCGGGGGAAGATGATGTTTGTAAAGAACGCTTTTCCTAAGCCGGGTGCGGTGGCTCAAGCCTGTAATCCCAGCACTTTGGGAGGCTGAGGCGGGGAGATCACGAGGTCAAGAGATCGAGACCATCCTGGTCAACATGGTGAAACCCCGTCTCTACTAAAAATACAAAAAATTAGCTGGGCATGGTGGCGCGTGCCTGTAATCCCAGCTACTCGGGAGGCTGAGGCAGGAGAATTGCCTGAACCCAGGAGGCGGAGGTTGCGGTGAGCTGAGATCGCGCCATTGCACTCCAGCCTGGGTAACAAGAGCGAAACTCCATCTCCAAAAAAGAAAAAAAAAAAAGAATGCTTTTCCTTTGCTGTCGTAAGCACTGCCATATTGAAACTCCCCCATTAATTAGCAGGCCAACTTTAAACTGACACTTCTCATGAAAACACTAGCCAGTTTTCAAAGCCGTGAATGCAAGTTTCCAGCACAAATACTGAAGAGTACAAACCGAGCATCCTAAGTGTTTACATTAACTATCGCCCCAAGAAGATAACATGGTCATTTATTATTTAATGCCTAAGCACATGCATTAGACGTAACATACATACCTTTTTAGGATGCTGTTTCTCACATCAGGACCTAGTTGGCCAAACATTTTCTTTGAATAAAGTTTAATAACGTGCACCTGGAAATCTGAGGGCAGCTGGGGCATTTGCTATGTAATTAATGGCTAGAGGAATCCATAGAAATGCTTTTCTTCCCATTTCTACCAGACATTTCCCTCCCACTCTCTCCTTCCCATTTTGGAAAGAGAAGAAATATGGCTTATATAAAGTGGATTGTGGTTACTCATTATATGACATTTGGACAGATGTGTCATCTGCAGATATAACAGATCTGTGCTTCACCACCCCCTACATAATTACTCAGATCACCATCTGAGGAGCTGTAAGAGTGATTCACCAGGAAAAAGAAAGTCCCAGCACAGTGGAGATCTGAGTAACACTGGGAAACAGAAACAGATTCCCCGAGTGAGGAAGATGGAAGCCGAATACCCTCAAAGCTCACATTCAAGAGTTCTGGGATACTAAGAGCATTCCTTGAAGCCCAAAAGTTTGATTCTCCTTTTTTGACATGTATCCAGGGCAGAGTTTAATTCGCTTATACAATTTTGGTAAAATTAGCTTATACAATTTTTCTAATAAGCAATGTATAGAAATAGAAACAAGTTTAAATATTATAAATGAGAAAAAAAATTGTTGCATTTAAGTGTTCAGCATATACTAGGTCCTCAGTAAGTATCAGTGGAGGAATGAAGTCAGTGAAGGAATGCTAATAGAATTATCCTGTACTGTCTGATTTTGTTTGCTTGTTTGGATTTTTTTTTTTTTTTGTACTTTCCATTTTTATAAAGCGTTAACCTACATTAAATTATCAGGAGACTGAAATATTTCACGCTCTTTTTGCCTTTCTTTAATTATATAAAGATGATTATGACAAACCCATAATGTAAGTCTCCTCAAACAAAAAAGATAATACTTTCCTGATTTCAGTTTGGTTGCAGAAAAAAGGCAAATTGGTGCATAATTAACAATTTGTTGGTGTAAATTCATCTGCATCTTTTAATTGGTGTTAATTAGATTAGGACTAAAATTTCTTTAATCCTCTATCTTGCCTTTTTTTTGATGCAAACTAATTTTCTCAGCTGGATGTCAAAGTTTCCCATTAATTACACTTTTGTAAAGGGAGCTTCTTCAACAATGTAGACTCAAACATACAGACCAAGAGCAGATTTCAGCAGAGCTTGGGACCAACCTTTTGGGAAAAGTAAGGCATGGTGAGAAGTGACAGGAAGGAGGTAACTAGTGAATTCACCCAAATTCTCTGGTCAATCAAGGCTTCCACAATTAGCAAATCAGGGACTGTCTGATACATGAGAGCCTCCAGCATTTGTTAGCTGTAAATAACACCCTGTAACACAACTCTGCCATAGTGCAGATGTTAGGGCAGACCTTCTGAAACAACAGTGACAAAATGTTCAGCCGTATGGTCAAGAAGATAACTTGCTTTGCAATCTCAAGAATATCGATAATGCCGCTGCCTTTTCCTCTGCATCACCAAGGGGCCATTCACAATACTGGCATGCCTACTTCCAGTGGAAAACACATGCAAATGTAAACGATCTTCAGTGAATTAAGTTGCACATTTCATATGGTTTCCTCCAAATACTGCAACTCTTCTACAATGGTTAGCATGTCAGGAGGAAAAGCCACAAAGTACATTCAATATCTTTTATGGCAAGGTGACCTGAAATAAAATTTTATGTAGTCAAGGATTTCTGATAGTTCTTTATCCATAGCTTTCCTCTCACTCTGCAGCAGTGATGATTGAAACCTGATGTGTACTGCAAAAAAAGGCTATAAATCTTTTTATGTACAAATAAAACAGTAGCCATTAAATTTTGCTATGATGTCTGAGTAGATATTCAGCATGAAAACATGATAAAACAACTGTAAACTGATTGTGATCAAATGTAATTACAATGACTTGTCTTCAATGAATGACATGAACTAAATACAGTCACAGACTTCTCCAAAATTACTTTGGGCAAAGAACCAAGAGAACACTATATCCTTTCTTCACTGAAGGCATTTTGCCAAATAAATCGCAAACACACAAGCTTTAATAACCACTGCCAAAAAAGCACTTGGGAACTCATTATGGAAACGTTTAAAACACACACACACACACACGGACACACACACACGGACACACGCGCACTCATATTTAATAAAAGCTCTTCCTCCACATTAGTATAATTTTACAGAAAAAGCCACGTGTTTTGAGATTTTTAATTGGTGCTCCCTAGAAGTAAATCCAAGGAGTGATCGGCAATTACAAGCATTTTTTTTTCCTCTCAAAGTCAATGTATTTGGCTGCCGTTTCTGGCATCTTTATCTTGGAAAGGCTGTAAGAAAATCTACTTGGAGATTTTTATGCAGCTAAAAGTAAACAATGACCTGGATTCTGAAATAATCTAATCTTTTCAATAAGCCAATGCAGGTGGATCTCTCCCTCATTCTCTGCGCTTTTTGAGGTGACTTATTGCACTATCTCCAAGAACTAAAAAAATAAAAATGACCATATACAAGGGAGTCACATTTGGCAGTAATTATGGCTGATACAGTCTAAGAACCTAAGGACTTGGAAAAGAAAAGGAATTTGTGCTCTCAGCCCTACTTTTCAACTCTGTCCACTAAAAAAAAATTAAAAAAAAAAAAAAAAATCTCGGGCCAGGCACGGTGGCTCAAGCCTGTAATCTCAGCACTTTGGGAGGCCGAGGCAGATGGATCACGAGGTCAACAAAAAATTAGCTGGGCATGGTGGCGCGTGCCTGTAATCCCAGCTACTCAGGAGGCTGAGGCAGGAGAATTGCCTGAACCCAGGAGGCGGAGGTTGCGGTGAGCCGAGATCGCGCCATTGCACTCCAGCCTGGGTAACAAGAGCGAAACTCCATCTCAAAAAACATGCCCAGCAAATGTTTGTATTTTTAGTAAAGACGGGGTTTCACCATGTTGGCCAGGATGGTCTTGATCTCTTGACCTCATGATCATCCTACCTTGGCCTCCCAAAGTGCTGGGATTACAGGCGTGAGCCACCCCGCCCAGCCAGAAAGTAGATTAGTAGTTGCCTGGGACTGGGGTCTTTGGGGGGAAATGGGGTATGACTGCTCAGTCAGCTTTGGGTCCATTCCTATGTGACCCCATGCAGACTTTAATACCATTTCTCTGCTAACAGCTCCCACATGGACATCTCCAGACCCAGCCTCTCTCCTCCAGATTGCCTACTTCATATCTCCACTTAGAATTCTAGTAGGTATCTTAAATTCAACATGTCCAAAGCTGAACTCTTGAGCTCTACCCCTACCCCCAAAAAAGCTTGTCCATTTATTGCCAAACCCATCTTGAAGGCCACTCTCTCTCTCCAGTCACACAAGCCAAAAACCTTGACAGTCATCCTTGACTCTTATTTCTAACTGAGAAATAATACTCAACCCACCAGGAAATCTCGTTGATTCTGCTTCAAAACACATCCCAGGTACATCTCACTCAGTTTGAGCCACCATCAGCTCTCACCTGGCTCACAGCAACTACCTCGTGACAGGACTCTCTACTTCAACCTACGCCTCCTACGTGGTATTCTCAACATTGCTTCTGGAAGGATCTGTATAAAAACTCTGCAGTGACTCCTTATTCCACCTAGACCTAACATCCTTCAGGCGATCTGGCCTCTGGTTCCCTCTCTGGTCTCACCTCCACTGCTGTAGACCCCTCTCACTCCACACTAGCCCACAGTCCTCCTTGCAACAATGGACACCCAAGGCTGTTCTGCTTAGACCATTCTTCCTCAAAAATACTCAATGTTAAGTCCTTTCTCTCCTTCAAACTTTTGCTCAGATATTACCTTCTCAATGAGGCTTATCCCTATCCCCTATTTAAAATAGCATCCTGCCTCCCCTCATTTCCTTTGCTCCTGTTGCACCTTTTCTTTTTTTTTTTTTTTTGAGACAGAGTCTTGCTCTGCCACCCAGGCTGGAGTGCAGCGGTGTGATCTCAGTTCACTGCAACCTCCGCCTCCTGGGTTCAAGTGATTCTCCTGCCTCAGCCTTCCGAGTAGCTGGGATCACAGGCAGGTGCCACTGTGCCTGGTTAATTTTTGTATTTTTAGTAGAGACAGGGTTTCACCATATTGGCCAGGCTGGTCTCGAACTCCTGACCTCAGGTGATCTACCCAACTCAGTCACCCAAAGTGCTGATTTGGCTACCGTGCCTGGCCCCTGCTGCACTTTTTCCATTGCACCATGACATTGGACACTTTCTAAAATTCTCCATGACCAACTTATTTATCTCTGTTGTTATCATCAGCCTGCTAAAATATAAGCTCTAGGGGCACAGATTTTGATTCTGTTCATGGATGGATCTCCCCAGTGCCCTGGGGAGATCCTCAAAAGGTGGCTCCTCAAAAGCCACTGGGCACATGGATGAAAAACTGTTGAAAATCCTATGGGCCCTTCATCTGCCAATATCGGACTAATGGCAACTTTAAGGGTTAAGGGCATGAAATTTTGTCACACAGATTTTCAAACAAAATAAGCAGTGGAGAAAAATGAGGTAAAATGTATTGTGGCTATTTAATATGTATTTTTTGAGACAGGGTCTTGCTCCATTGCCCAGGCTGGAGTATGGCAGCATTACAGCTCACTGCAGCCTCAACCTCCTGGGCTCAAGCGATCCTCACATCTCCTGAGAAGCTGGGACTATAGGCACACACCACCACACCCGGATAATTTTGGTATTTTTTTGTAGAGATGGGGTTTTACCATGTTGCCCAGGCTGGTCTCGAACTCTTAGGCTCAAGCAATCCACCTGCTGAAGCCTCCCAAAGTGCTGGAATTATAGGCATGAGCCACTAGGCCCAGCCCTGTATATTATAGCCCTGAAATACACTCAGTGATCGAGAAGAGAGTCTCTCAATTCTGTAAATCTTATAATGAAATCGTGGATGTTTAGATACTTATACTCATCTAGTAAAGAAAAACTGACAGGCAGCTAGTCACAGTAGTGCATGCCTGTTGTCTCAGCTACTCTGGAGGCTGAGGCAGAAGGATCACTTGAGCCCAGGAGTTTGGGGATGCAGTGAGCTATTGCACTCCATCACTCCAGCCTGAGTGACAGAGTTGGACTCTGTCTCAAAAAAAAAAAAAAAAAAAGAAAAGAAAAGAAAAAGAAACTCCCAAAGAAAAAGATTCCAGGAGTCACCTACAGTATATCTATTCCTCCCTGAGAAGGGCTCTAATAAGAGGGACTACAGCTACTGACAATACAGCTCTGTATGAAGGAAGTGTATAATCTTCAAAAAGACATGAGACAGCTGGGCGCGGTGGCTCATGCCTATAATCCCAGCACTTTGGGAGGCCAGGGCGGGTGGATCAAGAGGTCAAGAGATCGAGACCATCGTGGTGGACATGGTGAAACCCCGTCTCTACTAAAAATACAAAAACTTAGCTGGGCATGGTGGCGCAGCCTCTAGTCCCAGCTACTCAGGAGGCTGAGGCAGAATTGCTTGAACCCAGGAGGCGGAGGTTGCGGTGAGCCAAGATCGCGCCATTGCACTCCAGCCTGGGTAATAAGAGTGAAACTCCGTCTCCAAAAAAAAAAAAAAAAGACATGAGACATACCCATCACTCAAGAATCACCCAGGACGCCTGTAGTGCCTGTCTGAGAGGCGACGCCCCTAAAGGCGAAGGTGAAGGGTGGAGTGAAGGAGAGGACGTGAGAAGGGGACTCTGTGTGTGCGAGGCAGGTGCACAAGTCAGGGAAGTGAGTCCAGGCCCAAGGGTAGTCTGTCACACATCCCTTCTCACCTACCTGTTTGAGTCCCTGTCACCTCCTGGGAAGACTTTTGCAGTTTTTTGTTTGTTGGTTTGTTTTTGTTGTTTTTTTCTGAGACAGAGTCTTGCTCTGTCGCCCAGGCACCCTCCACCACACCTAATTTTTTTGTATTTTTAGTAGAGACAAGGTTTCACCACATTGGCCAGGCTGGTCTTGAACATCTGACCTCAAGTGATCCGCCTGCCTTGGCCTTCCAAAGTGCTGGGATTACAGGTGTGAGCCATGGCGCCCGGCCTGCACCCAGCTCTTAAAGTATCATTTATACACATGGAAATTTCTAACAGGCCCCTTGCTAACACAATAGAATGAAAAAACATGCCTACAAGGAAACTTAACAGATTGACTAAGCCCAAACTTGTCTTGCAGTTCTAGGAACCCTGTCACTAACCATGAGATGTATGTTGTGTGGGGTGCAGAATACTGTTTATATCTCAGTTGTAACAGCTCTTAAAAGCTCAAAATAGGAATCTTCATGGGGAATGAAAAAGAAACTTTACGATATTCATGCAATTGAAGGTAGCCTTTCAATACATTAGGAAATATTTTCAGAGGTAAAGAAAATGGAATAATGATTTGAAACTACCACCCGACTCGACATTCCCTATTTGGAAAACTAGGGTTCTCTGGAATACCTAACTTTTTCAAGGCTTATGACACCCTCCCCCACTATCCTCTCCCATCTCTCCGATTATTAAAAAAATGACTGCATAACACGCTTGTGGAATTTTTGCAAATGGCTAGAGAAGGCTCTGGAAGGAAGAAAGGACAAGCTACATGTTCATATATCTCCTCGCCTCTAATGCCTCACTCCTCATTCGATGCTGAGGACCTATAAAGGCATCTGTAGATCCGCCCACACTTCCTTGGCTTCTACCTCCTGCCTTCACCCCCAACCAGCTTGTTCTGCCCTGGAGCCCCTGGTGAATCTGGCTTCTGTACCCCCAACTCTTCATCTAGATTAGTACCTTGATTCAATCATATCATGGCCTGTTAGTGTGATTCTATCCCTTCATCCTATTTCCTGGATCGGCTCCAGCACCTTGGACCTGGCAAGGCCACCCCTAGCTTGGCATCCCAGAAGCTGGGCAGGCTGGGGTTGCTGTACCATTGACCATCCTCATCCCCAGGGAGGGGATTGAGGTATCAGCAGTGACAAGCGCTAGTTCTCATTTTTCTTCTACCAAAACACATTTATCTTGTTCAAATGTCCAATATTCTTTTTCTGAGATGGAGTTTCACTCTGCCTCCGGGGCTGGAGTACAGAGGCACGATCTCAGCTCACTGCAACCTCCCCTTCCCGGTTCAAGTGATTCTCCTGCCTCAGCCTCGTGAGTAGCTGGGATTCACAGGCACCTGCCATCTCACCCAGCTAATTTTTATATTTTTAATAGAGATGGGTTTTCTTTTTTTTTTTTTTGAGACGGAGTTTCGCTGTTGTTACCCAGACTGGAGTGCAATGGCACGATCTCAGCTCACCGCAACCTCCGCCTCCCGGGTTAGGGCAATTCTCCTGCCTCAGCCTCCCGAGTAGCTGGGACTACAGGTGTGCACACCACCATGCCCAGCTAATTTTTGTATTTTTAGTAGAGACGGGGTTTCACCTTATTGACCAGGATGGTCTCAATCTCTTTTTTTTTTTTTTGAGACGGAGTTTCACTCTTGTTACCCAGGCTGGAGTGCAATGGCGCGATCTCGGCTCACCGCAACCTCCGCCTCCTGGGTTCAGGCAATTCTCCTGCCTCAGCCTCCTGAGTAGCTGGGATTACAGGCACGCGCCACCATGCCCAGCTAATTTTTTGTATTTTTAGTAGAGACGGGGTTTCACCATGTTGACCAGGATGGTCTCCGTCTGTTGACCCGGTGATCCACCCGCCTCGGCCTCCCAAAGTGCTGGGATTACAGGCTTGAGCCACCGCGCCCGGCGGTCTCAATCTCTTGACCTTATGATCCATCCACCTCGGCCTCCCAAAGTGCTGGGATTATATCCGTGAGCCACTGTGCCCAGCCTAGAGATGGCTTTTCACCATGTTGGCCAGGCTGGTCTAAACTCTGACCTCAGGTAATCCACCTAACCCCGGTCTCCCAAAGTGCTGGGATTACAGGCGTGAGCCACCACGTTTGGGCACCAGTGTTTGATTAAAGATTTAAAAAAATATTTTTTAAAGACAAGGCCTCACTCTGTTGTCCAGGATGGAGTGCAGTGGTATAATCTTGGCTCACTGCAATCTCTGCCTCTGGGCTCAAACAATCCTCCCACCTCGGCCTCCCAAGTAACTAGGTCTACAGGCATGTGCCACCAGGGCTATTCTTTGTATATTTTGTAGAAACAGGGTTTCACATGTTGTCCAGACTGTTCTCGAACTCCTGACCTCAATCAATCCTCCCATCTCAGCTTCCCAAAGTGCTAGAATTACAGGCATGAGCCACAATGCCCAGCCTCCAATGTTCTATTGAAGACGATTCATTTTTGCCCCTCATCTTTTCACTGCTAATTACTTGGCAAGCATTAATTAAAAAAGGATGGGCAAACTTTTATTTCTCAGGTGACTAGAAAATTCTTCAAATGCATATATCCTTTTGTTCCAAAACAGAACATTTGCCCACTGGAATATTAGAAAGATTTTTGATTTTAGAGAGAATCAGGTGAGTGTGAAATGAGTTGACTAGTAAAATTAAAAGAGAATGTTGGTTTTGACTATCAGAAATATGTAGTTGAGTGAAAAAAGTAGGAAATTAGTTTTTAAGATAATATCAAATATATTCCATAACTTCATCAAAATAATTTTCAATGCACACACCACAAATTGCTTCCCTTAAAATGTTCAATTGTACTCTGTAAACACCCAAAACTACTAGGAAACTGAGGCCAGTAGACACTCTTTCTCTCTCTCATGTCTTACCGATTACACAGAACCCTAAACCTGCCACAGTTACATGTATGTGGTCTCTCCACTCTTCTAGCAATTGTTTATTGTCTAAAAAAAAAAAGCAATATTGTTTTTTTTTTAATTAATTTTATTTTATTTTTAAGACTGGGTTTCACCATGTTGGTCAGGCTAGTCTTGAACTCCCAACCTCAGGTGATCTGTCCGCCTTGGCCTCCAAAGTGCTTGTATTACAGGCGTGAGCCACCATGCCCAGCCTGCAATATTCTTTAAGTAGGACTATACTGCAATCCTTTCCATAATGTCCCTGTGTGTGTGTGGGTGGGGAGGTGAAATGGTGATTGTGGTGTGCTTACAGGTTTATGATGAAAATGATATATTATGAGCTTGATGTTCTTCCACTCTGTTTACAACATAGGTGGCTCCATCCTCAAGGGGTGGTTACATGGGGCATTTCTGTGGAGAAGTTTTTGCTGTAAGTTCCCACCATGTTCTATGAGCGCAGTGACTTCTGACAGTCCCCCAGTCCCCAAGACCCCCAAAGCCCCACACCTTCCAAAAGAACCTCCCAACACAATTTGCTTCTCTGCTTGCTTTTGGGTGTATGTGAAGCTCAGATATCCTTATTTCAGGAGGAAAACCTCTCTAAAGCAGACCTCTTCAGTGTGCAGACACTCAGGTGGGCACAAGACGGTTGCCCCCGTATTATATGCAGGTTGAGACGCATCCGTTGCCTTCCACAAGACACCCAAGTATAGGCAGCATCACATGATCCCCAGAAAAACTGGCACAGAGCAGCCCAAACGCCACCAGGAACATCTTTAAAGACAGCAGGGTATTTTTACTTTTGTTAACATAGGTGGATTTGTCCATCTCTGGTGGCTTTTTGGGACAGTCGAAATTTTTACATTAATACTGTAAATTCTGCACCATATTTTGGCACCTGCTACATCTGATTCAAATGCAGGAAAAAATACCATTTGTGCATAATGAAAAACCATTCATTTTTTCCTTTCCTTATCCCAGCAGGAGTAGAAAGCAATTCCAAGCCACTCTGCAAATGTATCCAAGGTTAGAGATTCGGGAGGGAGGGGCTGGCCAACATCTTACCCCCCAAATGACTGAAGCATTTCAGAAGGCTGACTGGCTCAAAACAATGATTTAAGAAAGGGGGAAAAACCTACAGGGAAAAAAAACCCATGAGATTTGTGCGAGTTCTGGTGCTCAGACAGGTTCTTTCCAGAGCCATCCCAGAGAGGCTTCTCACATTGGGGCCCATGGTGGGGTCTGCTCGGGGGCACACCCACTAAGTCATCCCCATGGTAAGCAGTGAGGGTCAGGCTGCCTAAAGCCACCCAGGTATGGTCCGAGATGGCACTTAGCCCCTTACTGAGATCTAAGCTTGGCAAGGGCGATGTCAGTGTTTACCTCCACGTCCCCGCACCAGGCCCTCCCCGTCCATTCCCTCTTCCTTTAACCCCCATCACTACCACTCTTCATGTGAGCTTCTCCACCTTGTTGCCTCGAAAACATCCCAAAGCCCAAGGACCACCAGCCCTTCCTCCCCAGATTCCTTCTAGCAAATTGTCTTGTGTCCAGGAGGCCTTATCATTCTTCTTATTCTCCTTCAGCTCCTTAAAGTGAAACCCTCAGTAAAGCCTCCCCCCAGACTATCTTGGAAAAGATTAATCTCTCAGATTAACTGAATGAGCTCAAATATAAAAATATTTTTAAAAAACAGTAGGGTCGTTAAAGAGTGACAGATTTAAGCGCCATCTGGGCTCGCTGGTCAGGGTGGCGCGAATTCCATCAAACGGCTGAACGGTGCACGATCTGAGAATCCCATCTGTTTTATCTAACATGAATCAGTCCAACAGTTTGACCATTTTGATGTTAGAGTTGTTTAAAGAAAACCATGGACATATAATACCTCCTCTAAACTTCTAGAATGCAAAATGTATATTTGAGTATCACAAAGACAGAAATTAAGCTCAATTCGATTCTCAGAGTGATGCCAGTGAAATTCTAAAGAGACTGCTTTTCATGAAATGATTATTTCCCCAGAGGAGTTTTGGGTGTTTTGTTTTTTTTTTTTAACCCTTGGGACCATATGTAGAGACATTTCTTAGAGTTATTGTGTAAAAGTTTAATAAATTTTTTCACTAAAAACTATATTCATAAGATTTTGGATCTTGTAAATTAGGAAAATTTTTTGTTTTCTTTCTTATATTAATTTTTCCTCCTCTGCTGGCCTCAAAGTATTTTTGTAAAAATAATATGAAAATATTATGAAAAATATTCATGAATATCACTTAGACCATCTTAATTATTAAGAAACGTGTGTGTGTGTTTTTTTTTTTTTAACAAGTAAGGTCTTTTCCTAATTTTTATAAATTGCTTTTAACCTTTAGCACTTTGGACTGCTTCCCTGTCTTGCTGTGCTATACTAATTCTTAGAAACACTAATCAGATTTTCCTGGGCCCAATAATATAGTTCTGTTTCTGAATGCCGGCAGTGAATTGCCCCAAAACAAATACTTATGCCAGTTAATCTTTAACAAGTGGGAGAAAATTTTTTTTAATAAAATATAACAAATATATTTTAAAATATATTTTGACCATTTTGAGATTTTAGAAAAAAAATCATATTTTAACCAAATCACTTTTTAATTGAAAAACATTCTTCTGCTATAATATTTTGATTATAATTTGTCCTAAAAATTGAAAGGAAAGGGTTCCTATTATTCTGCCATAATTATGGGGCATATATTTTATAAACATGAAAACTAAGCAATCATAAGATTCATGTAATTGTGTACTAAAACAGGAATTTTACATTATCAGATGATTTTATTCTCCTGGGTTTTTTTTTTTTTTGGTCATATGTTACAGAGATCATGTGGAATCAAAATAGCTTCTTCGTTCCAAATTTACATTGTGTTTCCAGGCATTTTACATACCAAATATATTTCTTAAAATGATTTTCTAGTAATACAAAGCGGGCACTATGTGGCATGTTACAAATGTGTGCATTTATTGTTTCTTCACCTACAAAACCAAGATAGTAATATCTTCCTCTAGAACTCAAAGATTATATGTAACAGTATTTGTAAAAGAGCATGAAAATTATAAAGTGCTATGCAAAGATATCTTTAGTAATAATAACAGCAATTTAATATTTTTATAGAACAAAAACTACTGAAAAATAAAACATCCATTCTCTAATCTCTCTTGTGATTAAATACAGAAACATGTTTATGTGGATTATTTCTAAAGCAGCATTTCACAGTTGGCTTTAAAGTAGCTGCTTCAGGGAATTACAAAGGTTCTAAAGAAAAATTATCTCTACGTTTGACAAATTTGAAATGCAAAAGCAAACAGTCAAATTGTCAGAAATTTTATTTGTAACCTTTATTTTCCTAAAAGTTGCTGCAGCCAGTTCAGGATACTAAGAACACAGGAAAACTTTTGTCCAAGGGGATTGGTCCCAGAGCCGAAGAGACATCAACCTCAACATCTACGACCACTGATTTCTCTAGGTAAATGTCAGTGGTCAAGAGTTACAACCCATTTAAGTCACAGACTAAAGCAAACGCTGGAACCACTGACTTTTTCTCTTTTTCCTTAAAGTTTATAAAATAATTGCAAAAAGAGAAAGAACTCTTGAAGGATAAATGCTATTTACAAAGTTCTTAAAGAGAAACATTGTACTGATTATTAAAGTTTCATTAAATTTGCAGTTTCACCTCTGTCTGCATCACCTGAAACAAAAGAAATGGTTCTAGCATAAGGCTCCTGGTCTATTCTCCCCTCTTTCCCTTTGGTAGCCAGACCCGTAATAAGCTCTGGGAAGGAGGAGTAAAACAGGGTCCCTACAGGCCCAGATTTAGTGAGGATGCAGCAGCTCAGGTTGTAGGTTGTCCCTGTGAGATGCCAGCTGGCTTCCGCACAAAGGTGACAAGCTCTCTTTGTTTGCTGCTAATCCCTTTGGCTTTCTTAGTGTCCCCAAGTCATGCAGACACGTACTGGTCACTTCCATCAGGTAGACACACAGTATCGATGCTTGGTCTCAACAGGCAGGCAAGCAGGGTGCCCACATGTCGAGGCATGTTCCCAACTCCACGGCCTGGAGTGCTCCTTCAGCGGGCACACCAAAAAAGGGCTTGATTACACTTCCTGACAAGAAGGTTTTGCTGACCAGCAGTGGAATGTGAGGGCACACTAGACATGGGATGGGGAAGGGCAGCAATGGGCACTGTGGGTAAAGGTACCAAGCAGTTACTGTTAAGGGACAGCTACTGCAGAGACTCTCTTCCTCAGCCAGGTAAAGTGGCCCCAATCAAGCAGCGCAACTCAAGGATGCCAACTGAAAAATACTATTTATACCCCCACCCAGGGCTAGTATCAAACGATGCCCTGTTTGCTCCAGTTTCCCACACCATTCAATCAATGGATGCATATACTTAGGGTTTATTAAGTAGAAGGAAATATTCCCCTCGGGGTTTACCTGAGCGGCACCGATGAGCTAAGAGGACGCTGAGTTTACCCTGCTCCATTTTCAGCACAGCATATTCCTTGGCAAATGATCATATTTCAAAACCATAATTCATTAACTGCATCTTGTTCCCTGTACTTGGATGCATTTGAGTAATTTTATTTAACCTCAGTTTGAAGAAAATATGTAGTGTCCTGCATCTAGCCTGAGATGTCTTTTCTTTGTACCAGCAGTGACCAACTCGGAACACTTGAACAGTGGCCGGTTGAAAAGCAAATATAAGCAACAAACCAAATCACAAGAGGGAAGAACGCTGGTCAGTCAACAAGGAACGTTGTCAAGCAATCTGAAAAATACTTAACTCTTAATAATGTCTCATTCGCCCTTACCGAAACTGGTGTAGTGAGAGCTCTCAGTGAGAGCGGGCAACTATTTTACAGATATGCTGCCCTTTATAAATTATTCAATTGGACAATAGCAAAGAAAAAGTGGTATCCATTTGTCAGACTATCCCATAAATCTATTCTTTTAAATGTGACAATTTGTCAAATTTGTTACTAGTAATACTAATGAAAAAATGAGGGTTCCTTTAAAAATATTTGTTTCCGACTCACTATAATTATTGCCTGATCAAAAAAAAAAAACAGTTTTAAAGACTTGGAATACACAAACCTATTTTTTTAAAGCATAAATTCAACGAAATAGAACCAATAGTCTAACATTAATAACTAATCTGACTCTCTATGAAAGTAGCTATACGAAAGAGTTACTAGAAGAGATTTAGAATCCATTTTGGCTCAAAAGAACTGATGAAATTCTACCCCTTTAAATAATTATCAATAGCTTGTATCAGATTTTTAAAACACAATTCTGAGTGTTAACATCAACTCAAAATCGCGCATCGCGATTAAATCTGTGCTGAGAGGGATCTTAAATCCAAAACTTTGAAGACTTCTGGGGCTTTCACTAAAAGCATCACAAAGTGAACGACAACCAAAGTAAACCTCTTTAAAGGGACAAAATAGCAAGGAAAGGTCAGGGAGCCAAGGGGGTCAACAAAGTCCTTCCAATTTGGGGTCATTCTTCCCTCCAGCACTGATTGGTCTCCCAATAAATTCCACATTAGCTCCTCCCTTCAGCTGCGGCAGAAACACTTGAACTGCCTTCTCTCTCCACAAAAGTTTAGTTTGCTGATTGGGCCTGAAACAAAGGGATGACAGCAGGGGCACAATTTATAAGGGGGCAGGGGAGGCTGACAGGCTATTGTGCTCTGGAGGCATCCACAAGCTGTTAATTCTATTTTAACATCGTTAATAAGACTGTTAACACATCAGACTTTGTTTAGAGACCTTGAGAACATCAACAAACTATCAAATGACCCACCTGAAATAAAATAGCATCCACTTTGGAAACATCAAAATCATACTTAAAAAAAAAAAGTCCTTAAAATGGAAAGACTAAAGAAAGGAAAAAGGAAATTCATTTTCATAACAAAGACCCAAATCTTACGTTTAATATACCTGGGGAATCCTTATTATTACTCTGATTATATCATCTTCAATCTATGGGTTTTCAAAATTGAAATTAAAATGGAATCGCTTCCATGTACATATGCACAAAGGGATTAAAAAACATAAATATACAGGTTTAATAAGACATTTAGAGTGAATAACTGGTCTGACAGAGTAACAGCAGTTAATTTTGCAATAGAAGAGAAAAATGTTTTCATCTCAGTCTTTCAAGAATTAGGAAAACAATCTATTACAAAAAAGAAGCTGTTTTATTGTACCCTCATGTCTAACTCAAAAAACCAGAGTGACCGGAGTTAGAGTAAAAAGTTCTAATTCATGGGTTAAGGGAACTACAATTTTGTGGAAATTCTACCTGTTTTTTTTCTCTTTTACTTTGCTTTGCTTTAGGGATTAAGACTATTCAATGCAAAGAGTTTTATGCTTAAAATTGAGACCAAATAACTTGGCAATCAATATTCAACAATCAATACTGCTAAAGAAGAAACCATTTCGTTTGAATTTTTCAGTGTAAATGTATGTTTTGTCAAAATGTTTTTTAATTAAAATAGCATACTTTTTATGGGATGGTCTACTAAAATCATTATAATTGACACTTAATTATTTTTTCATTTAAAGTAAAAAAACCCAAAATATATTGTGAGAAATTTGTGGTAACATTTTTTGAAAACTATTTTTTGGACACTGTATGTATCTGAAATCTAATGATGGAAAAAATCGAAAGCATTCTAGATGTGACTCAAAGTACCGAATTTTCAACGCACCGCAACACACATTGGTACATGTTAATTTTAAATATCCTTGCCTGTGATTTAAAGAAACAATTACTCAATACTCTTATAAGTACTGATGAGGAAAATTTAAAAACCAGGAGATTAAAATAGAATCAAATTATGTAGATGGAATATGTAGCTTTTAGAACAGAGTAAAGAATGCTAGGGAAGATTTAACTATTTTGACTCCTTTGAGTGCGGCTATTTGTTGGTGGCCATTGGTGGGTTAGAACTGGGGGAGATAATGAATGAAAAGACGAGAGAGACTATTCACAAACACAGACGTTAATATGAGAACACGGGAGTATAAACTTAATGGGTAGATGCAGAGGCAACTCTAAATCCACCCCTGCATTGAACACAATACAGAGACTCTGTTCTCAACAGGTCAAACGACCAATGAGCAAACGCTGGTACGAGGCGTGGGGACTTGGGACAACACAGTCTGTGAAAGCATCAATCACCACACGTTTCTAAAAGTGGAAACCGAGGCAGCTACCCTGAAGGATGACCGACGGTGGAATAATATTTGGCTACCACTGTTCACTTGCCTTTCCCAAACACAATGCTGTGCTTGTTTCTCCGGTTTCCTGCAATCTTTCATCTTTTAGATACACACATTTCAATCCAAGTATTTCAGTTGCCATAACAACTTCATAAATTTGTTCTCAGATGTCCTTTTTAATCACATCATTTAAAACAAGCTGGATGTGTCAGTGGAGTGCCTCGATTTATTCCATTTGCACCTAGCTCCTGAGGAGGTTGGTATTTGTTTCTTTTTCTCTAAGAAGCTCAAATACCTGAAAATAACATCACTATCTCCTCTCTGTCTCCATAGGCAAGGGAAGTTTTTTAAAAAATGTGTCTGTGGCCTTATTATTTTTTAAAACCCAGGTGATATTATGCCCAGAAATTGTCTCCTGGTTCACAGAAGAGAGACTGCTCACGCTACGCAGGTCTGTACAGCAGGGCCCTGCCCAGAGAACGCTGCTTTATTTCCACATATCAATTATTTATGCCGCCAAACAGGTTTTTGATAGAATCCTAGTGGTTTTAATTGGCTTCTGGTGACCATTACTATATAATACCTTTATAATATCATCTACCTTATGATGGGAAAAATAAAACTACACCAATATGTAAGTTTCAACGGCATGCATTAATTTTTAAACTACTCCCGGATGCTTTAGAATTTCATGCCAATAAAGAATAAGGCATAGTATTTCTGGCATCATTAAATAAATGACTTTGGCCAACATCAACAAGCAAACAATAGAAAACAGGACTCCACCAACAAATGAAAAGGGGGTGTCAAAAAATTCAAGCTGGGCTTTTTGCATATGTAGTGAAACTGAAGGCACTTCCCAGCAAGTATTGAAATGCACAGATAAGAACACAAAAGGCCCTGAAGTGGTTTGAAGGGTCACAATTTGCTATTAAACACAGCAGACGGAAACCTGCGAAAGTCCACTTCACTGAACTTGTGATGCTCCTGTGTAAGATGAGGAGTCATGCACAAGTTAGGGCAATCAATGATTCTCAACAGTTTTATTTTAAATTGCATTCTTAATGTTAGAGGAAAAAATATATATGCACATACAAACATATATTTAAGCTTAGAAGATGAGTCAGAGGAAGAATACTGTTTATAGTTTCTCTGTGTCAGAAATTAAAATGCAAGGGTGAATAGCATGCAACTAGGTACCAGCAAAGAGTAAATATTGGTTATGTTTAGGAAAGAGCATAAAAACAGGTGTGATACCAAGTTTTTCACTTCAAAAAATACTAAGCGACTAGTTCTTTGCCACTGGGGGGATAAACTCTTTTAATTATGTAAAAAGTGAAGAGAAGGTAGTAGGATTCTTTACTTTTGAATACTAAATTAGGAAACAGCAGCATCAAAGGCAGGCTTGATCTGTTTTGCCTGAAAAATTAATAGGCTTTACTAGTGCTTTGCAATGGAGGCTAGAGCTGCAAAAACAGAGGCTCTGGTGACACCAACAGTCCCAGGAACAAAATGCAGCTGTGGAGGCGCGTTGGGGGTTGGGAGAGGGTTTTTGTTGTTTGGTTTTGGGGATTTTTTACTTTTCTTTAATCAAAATGGATAAACCCGGCTTCCGAAACTCCGCAGAGGACCTGCTCTGGCCGAGGCCTCCTCCCCACCCACCCCCTTGTTCCTGTCCACACCCGCCCGCTGCCTATCGCCCGGGCCAGTGGCCGGGCCGGAGGGCCCGGCCACCCCGACTCCACGGTTTCAAAGCGCAGAGAGTTGAAAGGAGGGGAGGCCGGCGCGGGGGAGAGGGACGCCGGAGGAAAGACCTCAGTCAGGGTCCCCGGCCGACTCGGAGCTTCGCGCTGGTTCCCTCCGGGTCCTTCCTGGAAGGGGTTTGCGGAACCCGCGCTTCGCAAAGGAAACTTTCTGGGAGCCTGGAAGACTTGTCACCCGGTCTGCGCTCTCTCCAGCAGCGTGGGGGAGCGCTGGGGGCGATGATTACTATCGACAAACCTAAAATTCTTTCTCTTGAGAACCCCACACGTTTCACCCAGAGTGGGCCTGAGGATGAAGCTACTGGTGCCGGGAGGGGTAGGAGGGGCGCCGTGGCCGTTCCCCGGAGGCGGCCCCCCTTCTGAAACCCGGCAGGTTGCTCCGCAGAGCGCATGCAGGTGGCCTTCTGCTCGCACATCGAACAGGCATCCTCGGCTTTTGTCCACGATGTCCCTGGGCCCCACTCCTGCAGCCGAGAGGGCCCGGGGCACCAGCGGGCAGGGAGGGCTGGAGGGCCCCACCAGGTCAATAGCAGAAAACCCCGAGGGCAGGGCGAGGAGACCACGGGCTTGGGTTCTGCCCGGGACTGGGAGGAACCATGAAGATCAGGGCAAGCAGCTCCTAAGGAAGCCGACTTGGCTTCTGTTCCCTGGGAAAAGCGGATCAAAAAACTCGCTGAAGACCACTATTTACAGATGAGCCAAAGCAGAGCTGCTTAATTCACTCAATAACAAATCTTAATTGCTCAAAACAAAGCAGCTAAGTCTCTTTAGAGTGCTTCAAAGACCCTTCACACTGCAACCTGCAGTACGAAATGCATGCAGCATTTCCTAAAAAGAAAATACATTCAGAATCAAGGATAAAGTTAGAACTTTACCTTCATCTTTTAAAGGGTTTAATTTTTCCCCATCTCCCCCTCCTCCAATGAGGTCTAAATTTAGATAATGTTATTACTACCTAACTACAGTCTGTTTATTTTACTGCCTTTTTAAAATAAAGGATTTTTAAATTGTGCCTTAATTCTAAAAAGCCCCAAATCTGAATTCAAAAGAATAACATTAGTGAACACTTATATGGAAAGTCAAGAAAATTTCTGAAAGAACTATCATAAAACAATATTTATGTAGAATTCAAGCATTAGCAGCGAGCCTGACACAGCAAAACCATTGTATTTTCCACTAGTTTTGTTTTGCTCTATACAGCTGTGTTTTCACAGATGCAAAGCCATGTGTCTCCACCAAAAGGTTTAGCCCTCCCTTCAGATGTGAATGCAGATCAAAGGTTCAAACGCAGAAATACAAGATCCTTTTCCCTTTGGAACATGTTTTTATTTTTCTGCAGTGGCTGCAAACCAGAATTTCCATCTGTTGTCCTTCTGCAGTATACAGGTTAACCTTAGCAGTGGGGCTCGGAGCACTGTTATCTCAGCTAAGAAGTGCACAGATGAAGCACGTCTGCATGTACCAGCAGAGCAGCTCCCCAAGATGTCCACGAAGCTAAGACAGAATTGAACCAGGCAGGGGCAGAATCCATTTTAGTTGACATATAGAAATTAATTTTCATTTCTGTGCAACATCAAAACGGATGATGAATTTAAGATGGGTTTTGCTTTCACACCACACGCACCTTGGTAAAGATAACAACACCAGCCATGATTCCCTGCCTGTCCCTCCTCCTTCCTAGAGCCAGCAGTATGCAGTAAGACAGATTGCATTTGAATCTCGGCTTGGTGAAAATTCTCTAACAACACAAAATGATCTGATAAAATAACTCATTAATTTTAAATATTTTACAATTTACCAACAAGTAATTTTGAATGGAAATTTAAAAAAAAACATTTGTTACCTATTATCCTTTCAGTAACTCTTATCCTGTTAATTTCCACTTCTTTATCAAACATACCCTCAGAATGACTGAAGAGAGAAACAGGTTTCTCTATTAGCTACTCTAAACATGGATTTACTGCCATGTAAACATTGGCTTAGGAGAACAGTGAAAATGTGGCAATGCACTAACAAGGTGGGAGGCTTTGAAGGTATTCCTGCCAGGCTTTTAAGGTCACTAAATGTTGAGAAAACTGAACTACAGAGGAACATATACATATTCCTATTACCTATGTGTAGAAGATCAAGAGAGGTTAGAGGGATGAATGGCAGGATGACAGATACAAAGCTTTGGCTAGTTCGTGGGGAGATTTTACAGAAGCCCCAAGTGGAAAGTGCCATGGTCCCGTCTGAACACCAATGTGTGAGCGCCATCTAGTGGTCCACCTAGAACTGCACCCTAGTCTGTTCCCCCCTCCCCTTCCCCCCGCCCACGCATGCTGCCTTAAGGTCCGGGGCTCCCCACCCCATTTCCCCACCACATCCTGGCTCATTCTAGCGCTCTCAACCCTCCTGTCCAATTACTGTACCTTTTCTGCTCTAATTACAAAATAAACTAAAAAACCAAAAAGCCTCAGAAAACATAGGAAGAGGGATAATCCCAAAAGTGGGGGTGGGTCTGGCAAAAGGACAGTGGTCTCACAGGTTTCCCCGTGAAGCTGTCACAGAGCTGCATAGGGAAGCTTAAAGGGGCTGGTTCCAAGACAATAAGGAATTGTCTTGATCGCACCTGTGGACCAGACTAAATGAACAGAGTGCCCTGCTGCCCACAATGCCCTGTCTGCCATCAGTATGTTAACCTTTCTGGGGCAAATAATTAGCTCGATGACTGGGCACTGGTTCACTCATCAATATCCCTTCCTAGGTGCTCTGTAAAGAGTCAAGTCCAACATGACGTAGGTGGAGCTAGTGTTCATGATGTGAGGCCATCTCTTCCATCTGACTCACAGGCACCCAGGCAGGACCACATCATCAGCTGACAACAGGTCCCAGAAGCAGGGCCCACACAGCTTCCCAGCCTTCAAATATTGACTGTGATTGTCAGCTTCATGGCAGATCAAGCCACTAATGTGTTATTTACAGGGATGAAAGAGGACACCACCCCAGGCTCTGCCAAGCACACCCCCTAGTCGTGCCCCTTCAGCCACCAAGGCGGCAACACAGCCTGGGAGAAAGGCCAGAGCCCACTGACTTGCATTTCTGTCCCAGCAACTAGAGGCTGCTGAGCTGTCTTCATTCCATGAGTCGCACCTTTGCATGTGGACACGTGGAAGGGCACACATCATCTTGCCAATAACGAAAGGCAACACCACAGCACTGGGCCATCACTCCCGTGGGTTCTCAAGCCTGGCAGGGAGGGGGGTTCTTCTGATAGATCAGCCAATGCACAGAAAGAATGGACTTTGGCCCAGAATCCTGGTCTGCCAAGCGTCAGCATGTGATCCCAGAAAGGTACTTAACTCTCCGGGCCTTATGCTTATCCAATGTGAACAAAGGATCCTAATGCCTAGCTCACAGGGCTGGCATCAGATTTAAATGTACTCACCAAGTGCCCAGCTCAGAGCTTACCTAGCTCTGAGGGGCTCAACACATATTTGCTGACTGACAGAAAGGAAAAGGGAGCTGGCCAAAGCTCCTGAGCTGTGCACAGCCATGGCAAGTGCCCCACGATGACCCAACTGCTCACCCTTCCCCTGCCTGTGCTAAATGAGCAGGTGGGCACAGCTTCTACTTAAGAACCTATGTTCTCAAGGGAGGCACATCTTGGCACACAGGACTAGCTTTTCATCTGTTTACTCTGTGACTGTGGCCAATCTGTTTCCTCATCTGCACAATGGGTTGAACACAGGACCATGCTATTAAGACTGTTCTGAGGCAAAAAGCAGGTGAAGCCCCAGATGAAGTCTGGAACATGTGGTGGTGTGAGTTTTGAGACACGGGCCACTGCATCTGTCCTGGTAGGACTGTTATCAGCGCTGGGATTTCACATTGTAATTAAAATGACAACCTTTCTACACTCCAGTCTTACCTGCTGGGCCCTGGCAAGGAGGACTTTTGGGCATTTTAGTTTTGTTAAAATGCTACTTAATCTAAAGACTGTGACTTGCCTTTCATCTGGCACATGACTGGCTTTGAGGTTAGAGGCTATGTGCTCCGCCCACTTTCATTTTCACCCAATGCCCTGTGCACAACAATCAAGTAATATATAGATGATGTGACTGCTTTGGAGCCCTTGATAGTGAGTGAACTATGGTAATATGGAAGCAGCATAATACAGTAGGAAAGAGAAGACTCTGGAGATGATTTGGGTTGGATCAGCCCACCCTGCTGTGCTGGGGCTTGGGACAAGGGTACAGTGGAGGCCCCAGGTCCCAGCCAGATCCTCCTCTTTGCCCTATATGCGTGTGACATCCAGCCTGCACATCCAAGCTCCTGGCCTCACTCCCCACCCCCAGCCCAGCCTTAGTACCCTCAGGTCTGCGGTGCAAATGCTGCTACTCCACTCTCTACGATGGACGCAAGGAGAGGCCCATGGATGCCCAGCTAAGGGAAACATTTCCCAGCCTCTCCTGCATCTGAGTGTATTCATGGGCCAAAGTTCTTGTTGATGGCATGTGGTCAGGGCGAGCAGAAATGCAGTGTCCCTATAAAAGAAGGCATGCGTCTCCCTACCCCATGTGGTGGGGGCAGCCCAAGCAGCAGCCTTGGGGAAGATGTGTACCATCTGCTGAGGTCGGCAGAACCATAGCTAAAGAAGCCTGGGACCTCACTGAGCCATCATCATCAGCCCTGCACCACCTACCCATGTTTCAAGTGAGAGGGAAATAAATGATCCTTGATAAAGTCATCGTATTTGGAATCTTTTGGCCATAACACCCAAGCCTGTATCCTCACTTACATCCTAGTTATGAATGAATTGAATGGAATGGGCGCATCCAGCCAATCATACCCAGCATATCACCGTTGAATTGATTGAAATTTAAGCAGGAGAAGGAACACATGAATCAAAACCACACTGTTGGCATCCTAGGAGATCTGAACCATTGTGAAGCTCCAAAGTGGAGGGGAAGGTTCATAACTAGCGAGGATGAAAAAAGCAGCTAGAGAACAAATGGGAAGCCAAGCAAAGGAGAAAAAAGTCCCAGTAGCTTCTCATGTGGTGTTTCTGAATCTCCAAATAGATGCACAAGATTAAGTAGGTTTATTTAAACATGAAAGATCATTATTTCACTGTATCATAGTAATGCTGGTGAATAAGCACCATGACCTTTGGATGAGTAGAGGGAGGCGGAGTTACAGGTGAGATGCTGGGAATGGAGGTCTGGAACCTAAGTGTCCTGGGTGCTCCCCCTTCTACACAGGATTTTTTTTTTTTTTTGGCCAGTCTTCTTTGTCCCCAGGCTAACATACTCATGACAGATTCCTCAGCAGTAGCCCACTACTTATTCCTGCTCTTTTAAAACCAGCATATCCGTCATGATACTCCCATTCTGAAACATCCACAGGTGCTCCTAGTGCCTACAAAGCAACATCTGAAGTCTTAGCCTAGAATTCAAGGCTGTCCACAACTGAATCCAAGCACCTTCCAACCTCACTCTCCACCACTCCCCTCTACAAACCCTTGTCTTTCACATTGGTTTGTCTTTTCCCGACACATGATAACATTCCTGCCTCCCCCAGCGCCGTGATTTTGCTCAGATAGCCCCACCTCCCCCAGGACCATGCCCTGCTACCACGCACATGCAAAACCCGCTTGTGGTAATGGGGTTGTTGTTTACTACCACCTGCTTATCTGCTTTTAGGCTGTGTCTTCCCAGCTCATGACTGCAACTCTTCACTCCTTGGTGTCAGTCATACCCTTGTATGACTGCACAGCCCTTCCACTTGGGAGAAGGTTATCCATTATTATTATTTTTTTTTTTTTGAGAGAGTCTCGCTTTGTCACCCAGGCTGGAGTGCAGTGGCACGATCTCAGCTCACTGCAATCTCTGCCTCCCAGGTTTGAGCAATTCTCCTGCCTCAGCCTCCTGAATACTTGGGATTACAGGTACCCCACCACAACGCCCAGCTAATTTTTTTTGTATTTTTAGTAGAGACAGGGTTTCACCATGTTGATCAGGCTGGTCTCGAACTCCTGGCTTCATGATCTGCTTGCCTCGGCCTCCCAAAATGCTGGGATTACAGGCATGAGCTACCCACCAGCCCGGCTTGATCGCTTTTTTTTTTTTTTTTTGAGACAGAGTTTCGCTCTTGTTACCCAGGCAGGAGTGCAATGGCGCGACCTTGGCTCACCGCAACCTCTGCCTCTTGGGTTCAGGCAATTCTCCTGCCTCAGCCTCCTGAGTAGCTGGGATTACAGGCACGTGCCACCGTGCCCAGCTAATTTTTTGTATTTTTAGTAGAGACGGGGTTTCACCATGTTGACCAGGATGGTCTCGATCTCTTGCCCTCGTGGTCTACCCGCCTCGGCCTCCCAGAGTGCTGGGATTACAGGCGTGAGCCACCATGCCCGGCCCCTTGATTGCTTCTTAAGGAGCAATAAGCTTCAGTGGCTTCCTTACCTCTGACACCCAGCTGAGAGCCTGCCTTTTATGTGGAGGCCTCTAAGTTGCTTCTCCCTGAGTATGGAGGTATAAGAGGACATGAAACACTTGTGATTTGGGTAGCATTACTGGAACACTTGTGACCCTTTAGCACCGCATCCACCCATGGCTACTCTGGATCCTGCATTCACAGGTCCTACTTTTGGCAGATCAATGCTGGATAGCAGGGGCTATCCCTTCCCAGAGATATCATTCTTTCATTGATATCCCTTCCCAGGATATCTGCTTTTCTTTTTTTAAATTGAAACAGGGTCTCACTATATTGCCCAGGTTGGTCTCAAACTTCCAGAGTACAAGTGATCCACGTTTCAGCCTCCCAGTGCTGAGATTACAGGCGTGAGCTGTGTCTGGCCAATACCTGCATTTTAAAAAACAACTTCCTTTCTTGCTCAGAACACTTGGCAAGTCACACCAGACAGGCCAGCTGGGGCCCTGGAGCACTAGAAACACAAGGTTTAGTCCTGTGGTGAACAGTCACCGGCTATTGACTATCCCAAGACACACTTCCCCTCCTGAGGAACTACCTCATCCTAGCACAGCTTACAGTCTCCTGGGATTATCATCAAGGAGCCCAGCTCTCCCAGAGCCAAAGGGTGGGCCCCATTAGCCCAGCTGGACACTCCCTTGCTGAAGCCTGCATCCAGAGCAGAGTTACAGACTGAATACCCTGGCGGCACACTGTTCTCGTGGCTGAGCAGGGACACAGTGGGTAAGGACTGATGCCAGCATGCCTACACTCGCCTTCCACTGACTATGTGAATGCGTCCATATCCTTCCAGGAAACTCCCTCTTGTCAAAGCCAGATGTGGTGTCTGTTGCTTACAACCAAGAATCTCTTTTTTTTTCCAAGACAGAGTCTTGCTCTGTCACCCAGGCTGGATTGCAATGGCGCGATCTCGGCTCACTGCAACCTCTGCCTCCTAGGTTCAAGCGATTCTCCTGCCTCAGCCTCCCACGTAGCTGGAATTACAGGCACAAGCCCCCAGGTCCAACTGATTTTTTTGTATTTTTAGTAGAGATGGGGTTTCACTATGTTGGCCAGGCTAGTCTCAAACTCCTGACCTTGTGATCCACCCACCTCAGCCTCCCAAAGTGCTGGGATTACAGGCGTGAGCCACCACACACAGCCACAACCAAGAATCTTACCTGATGGAAACCACAACCCAGAATTCCATTTCACTCAAAAAATATTTATTCAATTTTTCTTTTTGAGACAGAGTCTGGCTCTGTCACCCAGGCTGGAGTGCAGTGGCATGATCTTGCCTCACTACAATTTCCATCTCCCAGGTTCAAGTGATTCTCCCAATTTGGACTCCCAAGTAGCTGGGATTACAGGCATGCACCACCACACCCAGCTAATTTCATATTTTTAGTAGATGGGGTTTTGCCATGTTGGCCAGGCTATTTTAGAACTCCTGACCTCAGATCACTTGCCTCTGCCTCCCAGAGTGTTGGGATTACAGGCATGAGCCACCGTACCCGGCATATTATTCAATTCTTGTCATGTGCTTGGCACCAAGACAGATGCTGGGCTTGCAATCAGGTGCCAGCAGTAGCGCTATGACCAGCAGTAGGGAGGCTGGATCTAACACGGGAGATAGCACAGGGTACAAAGAGCAGAGATCACATATGGGCAAAGCTATCGGAAGGCAGAGGAAGGGTGTCTGCTGGCCTACAGGGGTGTGGGTGACTGCTAAATCATCACAAGAGGAGGGGATATTTGGTCAGCAAGATCTCAAGGAAGATGAGAGGAGGGCTCTATGGGGAGAAGAAGCAGCGTGAGCCATGGCAGAGACAGAAAGGAGCTGGGGTATCTCATCACACTGAGAATTTTAATGTGATTGGAAGGTCAGAGCCATGGGGTGGGAAGATGATTCTGGAAAGGTAGTCTTGGGTTAGGGTGTAAAGACACTGTAAGGTCTTCATTCCTCAGTGTTGCGAGTGACTGCTGCTTATGGAAAGGAGAGCAATGAAGTCTGTGTTCAGAAAGCTACTTCTGGAAGATGGACAGGAGAGGGGAGAGACCCAAGAAAAGACCCATGATGGCTGGAAGCCATGCTGAGATGCGTAGAATCTAAGAGGCCAGGGGAGACAAGAATGACTCCAGGGATTTCAGCTACAAGATGAGGAAAGGTGGTGCTAGAGTCTGTGGAGGCAGCCTCCAGCAGCCTCTGTGCTGACCTTACGCTCCAGAAGAGCACACACACCTTGGCCAAATCAAAACTCATGTTGCTGCCAATGAGAATCTGGCACGTTTCTGTCACCCTGGGCAAGGAGGGGAAAGCAGATGGGCACCTGAGGTTTCTAACACTCTTCTTACTGCTTCCCCTCTTGAAAACTTTTTTTTGTTGTTGTTATTTCGTCTTTATTTCATAATCATAAACTTAACTCTGCAATCCAGCTAGGCATGGATGGGAACAAGGAAAACATGGAACCCAAAGGAAACTGCAGCGAGAGCACAGATTTTAGGATACTGCGAGCACATGGGGTGGAGGGTGCTCTCCTGAGCTACAGAAGGAATGGTCTGGTGGTTAACATAAAACACAAGTCAAACTTATTAAAGTTGTCCACAGTCAGCAATGGTGATCTTCTTGCTGGTCTTGCCATTCCTGGACCCAAAGTGCTCCATGGCCTCCACAATATTCATGCCTCTTTCACCTTGCCAAAGACCACATGCTTGCCATCCAACCACTCAGTCTTGACAGTACAGATGAAAAACTGGGAACCGTTTGTGTTGGGTCCAGCATTTGCCATGGACAAGATGCCAGGACCTGTATGCTTTAGGATGAAGTTCTCATCATCAAATTTCTCACTGTAGATGGACTTGCCACCAGTGCCATTATGGGGTGTGGAGTCACCACCCTGACACATAAACCCTGGAATAACTCTGTGAAAGCAGGAACCCTTATAACCAAATCCTTTCTCTCCAGTGCTCAGAGCACGAAAGTTTTCTGCTGTCTTTGGAACCTTGTCTGCAAACAGCTCGAAGAAGACGCGGCCCAAGGGCTCGCCGTTGACGGCAATGACGAAGAACACGGTGGGGTTGACCATGGCTGATACGACAAGGCTCCAGGCGGCAGCGGCGGCGGCGGCGTCTGCAAAGCCAACTTTTTTTCTTTTTTTGAAATATGGTCTCACTCTGTCACCCAGGCTAGAGTACAGTGGCACAATCATGTTTCATCACAGCCTCAAACTCCTGGGCTCAAGCAATCCTCCTGCCTCATCCTTCCCAGTAGCTGAGACTACAGGTGTGTGCTACCATACCAGTCTGATTTTTAAAAACATTTTTGCCATCCTGGCCAATATAGTGAAATCCCATCTCTACAAAAATATAAAAATCAGCTGGGCGTGGTGGCACATACCTGTAGTCCCGGCTACTTGGGAGGCTGAGGCAGAAGAATTGCTTGAAGCCAGAAGGTGGAGGTTGCAGTGAGCCAAGATCGCGCCACTGCACTCCAGCCTGGCGCCTGGCAAAAGAGCAAAAGAGCATGACTCTGCCTTAAAACAAACAAACAAAAATTTTTGTAGGGATGAGGTCTTGCTATATTGCCTAGGCGGAAAACTTTTTTTTCCATGAAGCATCATACAACCTTTTTTTTTTCTTTTGGGACAAAGTGTTGCTGTGGCCCAGGCTAGAATGCAGTGGCACATGATCACTGCTCACTGCAGACTCCAACTTCTGGGCTCAAGTGATCCTCCCAGCTCAGCCTTCCGAGTAGCTGGGACTACAGGTACGCACCACCACACCCAGCTAATTTTTGTATAGTTTGTAGCAATGGGATTTTGCCATGTTTCCCAGGTTGGTCTCATGCTCCTGGGCTCAAGCAATCCGCCAGCCTCGACCTCCCAAAGTGCTGGGATTACAGGCGTGAGCCACAGTGCCTGGTGGACTCATAGAATATTTAACATGTAAGTCCTCCATCAATGCTCCAGATTTTCCCCACCCTTCACCTTATCGGCAAATAACTAAGATTTCTCAAAAAAAAAAAAAAAAAAAAAAAAAAAAAAAAAACAGTGACGGCCAGGCATGGTGGCTCACGCCTGTAATCCCAGCACTTTGGGAGGCCGAGACGGGTGGATCATGAGGTCAAGAGATGGAGACCATCCTGGTCAACATGGTGAAACCCTGTCTGTACTAAAAACACAAAAAATTAGCTGGGCATGGTGGCGCGTGCCTGTAATTCCAGCTACTCAGGAGGCTGAGGCAGAGAATTGCCTGAACTCAGGGGGTGGAGGTTGCAGTGAGCCGAGATGGCGCCATTGCACTCCAGCCTGGGTAACAAGAGCAAAACTCCGTCTCAAAAAAAACCCAAAACACAAGCAAACAAAAAATGACATTGCAAGGTACACCTACTTAACTGTACAACTGTTTAGCTTTTCTTTTTTCATGACATAATTTTTAGAGGTACTTCTATTTTTCACAGAACTGCACCTGCACCATCATATGAAAAATGGGTGCCAATTAGTAGTATTTTAGTTAAACCCGTTTCCTCTTATCATTGTCTTATGCTAGAAGCGAGCTGGCATGAACAACAAAGGGTTGCTATTAATAGTACAACACAGAACGCAAGCGGAAAACTTGAGTGAAATTATGTTTTTTAAAACCCACTGTTTAGTGCCCAGAAAAAAGACAGACTGTGCAGCATCTGTGCTGGGGGGAGATGGAACTAATAAATCATTGCCATTTTTACTAGGCGCAGGCAGAATCTGATGTGCATCCAAAGCCAAACACATTGGCTGTCCGAGAAAAATGATTTACGTTCCAGGGCTTTTTTTCACTCCATTTGAAAGTTTATGCATTTAGCAACCTAGATGATTTTATTAATTTAAGTGTCCTGTAATTATTAACAGTTTTTTTTAAATTTGGGGGATGGGTTGAATTTATGAATGAAATATAAATGGAGATACGTGTGTGTGTGTGTGTGTGCGTGTGTGTATATATATATATCCTTATGTTCAAACACAAAATATCCATTTCAAAGTCCAACTTGCAGATGTAAAGCCATGTAACACATAAGACTGGGCTGGAAAAAAAAATGATATTTTGATGCATATAAAAAAACTACTAGTGACACTAGATAGCTAACTTTCTATTATCAGTTCAAGAAAGGAGTAAGAAAAGCATATTTTCTTAATCAATTTGACCAGAATCAAAGCAAGTTTAGAAAAGACCCTAAACACTGGTGACAGTGCAATATCCATCTTCAATAAATAACAACCTTAGGACGAATTCGTATGCTTTTGGCACATCTGGCTGCCCTATCTACTCTGGAATACAGAAATATTATAAAAAGGAGCCTCTAAATAGTAATGCAGGGGGCTCCACTAATCAGATTATCACATAAGGTACTGACAGCAAGAAAAGTCACACGAAACCAGGGCTGTCAGGAATGTTGTTTCAGAATTCAATGAACAATGGACTATTTATTTTGGCATTCCATAATCATTTTGTCTACACGCTCTTGTTAGAAAACTGGTAAAATTCAGAAAAGCAGAGCCTAGAAGGGCTGATGAACATTCAGAGCCTTCTGAATAGTCCATGGCGTTGAGATTTTTGTCCAAGGACTTGAAAAGTTAAAGGCATAGTCCTGCCAATTGTGAGTTGCCCTCTCCAACACAGACCACCCACAACTACGGATTTTCCATCTGGTGAACAAAACAGACAGCTCCCTAATTATTTTTAAAAAGGATTTTTCCCCCCAACATACTTTCTTTATTTGTCTGTGACCTGGAACTTAATGGAAAACCTCGTGCATGCCAACTTCATTTCTTGTAATGAAACATCCTATTTTATTGTTTTAACTGGTTTGTTTTAAAGACTCTAAGAGAGAAATTATTACCTCCAGAGCCAACACACCAAGCTACCAAGATAATTCCAATGAACAACTGTTTCCTCTGAACAGAGTATCTTGTTTAAATATTAGCCACTGAAGTTTTCTCTCACAACCAACAAGATGAAAATAGGAGGGAAATTATTTGCAATCGTTCTCAACTGGGCACCCATACTGCTAGTGTCAAAATCTATGGCTTTTCCAACAAGATGGCCACCTCTGCCAAAAGCATGCTCAGAAATGCCAACTGTAATTAAAATCTGGCACCTGTCTTGGGCACCAAATTTGCTTCTAATATCTCCATGTTGAAATGTGTCTCAGCTTCGAGAGGACTTAAGATGCTTCTTGCCCTCTGCTCTTTGGAAAAACACTCAAGTGGAAAAATTGACGGCTGTTATCCCCAAAATTACATTTTTTACATTTTAACTATCCTAAATCTTCTCTGCTTTCTTTCTCTGAATCTGTTTGTTTAATTAGTCCCAAGAGAATCACCATACATTCCCTTCACACATTTTGTTTTTATAAACCTCAAGAAAAAGAGGCAGTGAAATAAGTTCTTCCCACTATGGAGTTGTGGGGGAGGGCATGGGTGACAGAGGTAGATTTTGCAAGGTTTTAGATACCATGGATCTGGGAAGCTCTAGGAGGGGCAGGAGGCTTCCCTAAGAGGGTTTTTCAGAGCCACCCATCTCGATTGGAGGCACACTGCTTTGGACCTCTCTGCTGCCCATGAACAAGCTTGTATCCCACCTATTTTTTGTTGAGCTGGGGTTCTCAAAATTCTAGGTGGTTTTTTGTTTGTTTTTAAAGACTCTGCAGCATTTCTCGAGAAGAAACATCTTGTGATCTTTCTTATAAGCCTTTCAAAAACTGTCCACTCAGCCCCCTTAGATGTGGGCAGAGTGGTCCTCGGGCCCACGTATACGGTGGCTAGCTGATGTGCACTGCACGGTTTGGCACTGACAAGCATTCCCAAAGGGTGGGAGGCTAGAGTGTGCGGAGGGCCCAGCAGTAGCCTCCGCAGAGGGGAAGGGGGCCTGCCCACCATGCTCCCTGCTGTATCACTGGGCCTAGAAGTGTGTCTGGCACAGAAGGTGCCGAGAAGTGGCTATCTCAGGGCTAACAGGCAGATAGATCTAGGGTAAACTTGCCTTTGTAATGAGTTCCTTACATTCAGATTTCTGTAACCAATTGGTTCCCGTGGTCGTAGGAACCTGAACCAGAGGAAATTATAAATCATTGTAAATGCAAGAAGATGCCCTTCTCCCCAAGCCTGTTGAGGGGCACAAACATTCATCCTTTGGACGCACGTCCTCATTAAGCTTCCCTTTCAGGAGCTCCATCCTTCAGCGATCCTTCTTCCCCCAGGACATCCCCAACTCCTATAACACATCACTCTTCATTGGAAATTAAAAGAGGTGGCCTGGCGAAGTGGCTCATGCCTGTAATCCCAGCACTTCGGGAGGCGGGAGGCAGAGGAGGGTGGATCACGTGAGGTCAGGAATTCAAGAATAACATGGTGAAACCCCATCTCTACTAAAAATACAAAAATTAGCCAGGCCTAGTGGTGCACGCCTGTAATCCCAGCTACTCAGGAGGCTGAGGCAGGAGAACTGCTTGAACCTGGGAGGCTGAGGTTGCACTGAGCCGAGATCACGCCACTGCATGCCAGCCTGGGTGACAGAGCAAGACTCCGTCTCAAAAATAAATAGATAAAAAGAAATTAAAAGGGGCTAAAGGAGTACAATGACTGCTTAAAGTACAAGTAGATTTACTACCGAATGCAGAATAAATATAAAAGCAGTGCCTGATCTGTGACAGAATTCTGCTCAAAATAATTCACCAATAAGTTGCTTCTTTGGAACTGAAAATGAATTTTTCCCCTTGGAAAAAATGGCACAAATGACGGTTAGGCCCTCAGGATAACTCACACAAGCCCACCGAACCCCACAATGTCCCAGGGTGCTATTATTTTAATAGCATGTTCATGAGATTGAGAATCCTAAGTTTAAATTAAGGAATTTTTCAGCCACAGGAAAGAAGATACCCTGGACATGGCTGGTGGTTTATTCATGCCCCACACCCCTTAAAGAAAGCCATCTCCCTGGATCAGAAATTGCCCTAAGGCCCCAAAACCACAGGAGACCAAAGCAAAACTAGACAAATGAAATCACGTCAAGTTAAAAAGCTTCTGCACAGCAAAGGAAAACAATTAGCAAAGTGAAGACACAACCCACAGAATGGAGAAAAATATTTGCAAACCACCCATCGGACAAAGGCTTAATAACCGGGATATATAAGGAGCTCAAAAAACTCAACAGGAAAAAAATCTAACAATCCAATAAAAAATAGGCAAAAGATCTGAACAGATATATCTTAGAAGAAGACATACAAATGGCAAACAGGCATATGAAAAGGTGTTCAACGTCACTGATCACCAGAGAAATGCAAACCAAAACTACAGTGAGATATCACACGCCAATTAAAATGACTTTGATCTAAAAGACAGGCAGTAACAAATGTTGGTGAGGATATAGAAGAAAAGGAAACCATCATACACTATTAATAGGAATATAATTTAGTACAACCACTATGGAGAACAGTGTGGAGGTTCCTCAAAAAAACTAAAATTAGAACTACCCACAGGACCCAGCAATCCCACTGCTAGATATACACCCAAAAGGAAGGAAGCCGGTATATCGAAGCAATATCTGCACTCCCATATTTATTGCAGCAATATTTACAATAGCAAAGATTTGGGTGCAACCTACGGGCCCATGGGTAGCTAAATGGATAAAGAAAATCTGGTACATATACACAATGAAGTATTATTCAGCCATAAAAGAGAATGAGATCCTGTCATCTGTAACAATATGGATGGAACTGGAGAACGTTACACTAAGTCAAATAAGCCAGTCACAGAAAGACAAACTTTATCTGTTCTCACCCATTTGTGGGAGCTATAAGTTAAACCAATTGAACCCATGGAGATAAGAGACTAGAATGCTGGTACCAGAGGCTGGGAAAGGTAGTGGAGGGGGAAGCAAAGTGG